TTTTTTTCTGCAATTTTCGGCCCCCCCTCCAGCGACCAGCGGGAAAAACAACACAGCAGCAACCCCTCGGCTCGCCCTTATCAAAGGGGTCGTCGGCCACATTTACCCGTTTGATTAGATCCAACGTGCTCGAATAATTATCCTCTCGTGGTGATGACACTCAACTTCGCCCGTGAGTCGAGCGATCGACCGGCGCTCCGGCTGCCCAATCCCCCTCCCATGCTACATACCCGTTCAGGCAACGAGACTTTGGATCGCCCCTCCACACCTTCACAGAATGGGTTTACCAGTCCTGTCCAGACGCCGCAGGGCAGTCCTAGCAAAAACAGATTTCCACCGGGCGCCCTAGACCTACCAAATGTCTTCGATAAAGCGATGAAGCTGAACCCCACCTCGCCCAACAAGGGCACCTACGACCATTACAATCACCCCATGTTTTCTCCCAAAAAATCAGTGGAAGACTTCAGTGAGAGCGTCATTCGACAGCCCCCAGGGAGTCCGACACGCAAAGCAAATAAGGAGAACACACCCCCGAGTCCGACGCGGTTGGCCAAAGACCTCGGCCCAAATCCTGCCGCGGCCGCCATCTCTCGTCACCAGCCGTATCAGCCACGCGATGTAGAGAGCATCCAGAGACGTCAGGTGCAGATGCGGGGGTTGACACCGGAGGAGATGGAGAAACTGCAGAACCCTCGGGTAAAACGATTAGTAAATGTGACGCAGCTCTGTAGGTTTCCGCGCGCACATTCTCAACCGATGGTATCGAGTCGGCTAACCGTTTCTAGATTTCCTCGACCATTATTTCGACCTCCTCAGTTATGTGCATAATCGCCAAACTCGCTACTCTCAATTCCGAAATGCCTACCCGGAGCCGCCCGCAACTCCCATGGATGACTACGAGCCGGCCCTCCTCAAATATCTGGGTCGGGAACGGGCCCACCTCCGCAAGCGCCGCACCCGTCTCCGCCAACACGATTTCCAGATCCTGACGCAGGTCGGCCAGGGTGGCTATGGACAGGTGTATTTGGCGCAGAAGAAAGATACCCGGGAGGTGTGCGCATTGAAGGTCATGAGCAAAAAACTACTGTTTAAACTGGACGAGATTCGGCATATTTTGACCGAGCGCGACATCTTGACGGCCGCCAAGAGTGAATGGCTAGTCAAGCTACTCTACGCTTTCCAGGATGAGGACCAAATTTACCTTGCGATGGAGTATGTGCCCGGTGGTGATTTCCGCACACTCCTGAACAATACAGGGGTTCTGCACAACCGCCACGCGCGATTCTATATCAGTGAGATGTTCAGCTGCATCGACGCCCTGCATGCGCTGGGTTACATCCATCGTGACTTGAAGCCGGAAAACTTTCTGATCGATTCCACGGGTCACGTGAAGCTGACCGACTTTGGCCTGGCGGCCGGCATGCTGAATCCGGGTAAGATCGAGTCCATGCGCGTGAAGCTGGAGGAGGTGGGCAACACGCCGGTGCCGTTCGGTCGTCCAATGGAGCAGCGCACGATGGCCGAGCGACGCCAGGGATATCGCACTCTCCGCGAGCGTCAAGTCAACTACGCCAAGTCCATCGTGGGATCTCCCGATTACATGGCGCCGGAGGTATTGAAGGGCGAGCAGTATGATTTCACGGTCGACTACTGGAGCCTGGGATGCATGCTGTTTGAGGCCCTGGCGGGATACCCACCTTTTGCCGGTGCCACGGTAGATGAGACGTGGCAGAATCTGAAGAATTGGCAAAAGGTGCTACGCAAACCAGTATATGAAGACCCGAACTACTTCCTGTCGCGACGGACGTGGGATCTGATCACGAAGTTGGTAGCTTCGAAGGAGAAACGGTTCAAGAATATCCATGAGATTCACGCCCATGACTACTTTGCGGAGGTTGACTTCAACCGACTGCGCGACCAGCGTGCGCCGTTTGTACCCGAACTGGATTCGGAGACGGACGCAGGCTACTTCGACGACTTTACCAGCGAGGCGGACATGGCCAAGTACAAGGAGGTCCATGACAAGCAACGCGCTTTGGAGGAAATGGCAGAACGAGACGAGAAGATGAGCAAGGGTCTCTTCGTCGGATTCACATTCAGGTACGTTCGCCCTCAGATCGGTCATAGCAACATGGGTTCTAATGAAACGGGTATAGGCATCGAAAACCGGCAATGGACGGAGGACGCAGCTCACCGCGCAAACCCATTGCGACGGATGGGTCGTTCGGGACGATGTTCTAACCCATATCTTCTTTCCCTTCACTTTCAACTTTTTCTTTTCCTCCTTACTGGCACGGTACGAGCTGGATCTCGAATTGACCATGACTGGATTTGATGAGCGAGTATATGTTTAATGTTCATGTCTGACTGTATGCATTACCGGGTCAAGGGTCATGGTCTGGAGTTGAGTGTAATTGCTTGTATGATACATAGAAGGTATCTTAGACTGATAAACGAAATCAAGATTTTCAAAGCCAAGTCGTCCCAGGGACATTGTAGCCAAGAAATCCCTCCTAACGAAGGAAGAATAGAAATCTAATCAACATCCAATTGATGCACCATCTTCAAAATCTCCGACTCATTATCCCCAAGCACAGCCCGTCCATTCGTCCAATCCACCGTCTAACAAAGCCAAATTAGCCCACCCTTCATTCCCCAAACCCCCAACAAAGACAAGAGAGAAAAAAAAGAACGGTATACTCACAATAGGCCTAACCAGCCCCTGCCCCCCATTCTCCTTAAACCTCTTCACCGCATCCTCCGCATCCCTCGCCCCTTTCACCACCTGCTCAACCCCATACACAATCCGATTACTCCCCGCCCCCGCCGGATCCGCCGTCACATAGTCCAGGATATTCCGCAGCTGATCTGTCGTCGGCGTCTCCGTCGTCACTTCCAATTGGAACTCGCCCCGTTTGGTCGTCTGCGGTTCGCCCGCTTCGGCGGCGGCGAGTGCCCGTTGTAGCGTTTTCAGAGCATTTTGCGACGCCGGCGTGCTGGGACTGTGGAAGAGGGTTATGGGGTCGAGGGTTTTAGCCTGTTTTCGGAAGAGGATGTATGTTAGTTGGTTTTGAATTGAATAGGTGTTTGGTGGTCGGTGATATCTTTTATTTGGGGGGAAGGTTGTTTGGAGATGGGATTGGATTGGATTGGATTGGGTAGGAATTGGGATTGGAACGTACAAAGCGGAAGACCATTTTAACTGCTTTTTTTTCTTTTCCTTTCGAGGGTTAGATGGATTTTTAGTTGTGTGATATGAGATACTGAGTATTGAGTCTTGATTATTGTAATTTGGTTTTGGTTTAGGTGAGTCGGAGGTGGTTGGGTCTGATTACGTCATGTTTTTTTTTTAGTTATAAATTGTGGTGCTGCTTCTGGTTTGGGTTAGTGGCTATTGTCGGGGGCCCGATTTGGTAGGGTGTTTTTATTCTGGGTCACGGGAGTGGGGATGGATGTCTTGTTCTGGAGTCGTAGAACAATGTCCTCTACATCGCAGCACTATTTGATCAGATAAAGGGAGATATTTGGCATCCTTCTATCTATGTTTCAAGAGGTATTGATATTGATGAAAGGAATCATGTAATGTGTTGTTCAGGTTCAGGTTTAACTACCGTATGGGTATTCTGCCCGTTCTCGAAAATGCAATATCGCCCCAGTCTTCGGAACAATCGCAGAACGCCAATAGAAATACCTCTTTTCCTGCGCCCCGTCCAGCATCCTCAGGTCATAGCGGAGCAGGACCTGCGCCAGAATGAGCTTGAGGAGAAGCGAGGCATAGTACCGACCCGGACAAGCCCGTTTCCCTAGCCCCCATACCGGGAAGGTGACATCGGCGTCTGTGAAGTCCGAGGTAGAGGTTGCTCTGGATTTGGCATCCCAGTCTAGGTTCATGAACCGGTAAGGGTTGAAGGTGAGGGGGTCGGTGTAGGCCTCTGGGTCTTGGAGGAGGGGCCGAAGAGGGATGCATGCGATGTCGTCCTTCGCCAGCGTTGTTCCGTCGAGTAATGTGAATGGTTGGAGGACCTTACGCCGTAGCGAGATGGAATCTGTTGGGTGGAGGCGTGCGGACTCCTTAAGGAAGCCGTTGAGTAAAGGGAGATTGGTAATGTCTTGGGCTGTGTTGATTGCGCGGACCTCGTCGCGCAATGCGGTGGTGTATTCGGGGTGGAGGGAGAGGTCGTCGAGGGCGTAGAAGAGACACATTGCAGGTTGGTGGACGGACGCGAACCAGATTCCTAGGAGGACTTGAACGATTCGGTGGGCCGGCCATTCGCTCTGCTGGTTCTTGCGTGCAGCGGCGTTGACGAAGAACTGGATGCAGTCTGTATGTCCTGGGGTGGTGGTGGCGTTAGGGAGACGGGCTTCAACGACTGGAACGAGACGGTCTAATAGGATCTTCAGCGCTCTGTGGCGGCGCATTAAGTAAGGGGCAACGAATGGCGCGAACCACGAGGGCAGGAGGCGGAGTACTTCGGCTGTTTCCATTAGATGCTCGGGATACTCGAGTGCGGCGTTGAGAAAGACCGGGTCACTTGATACTTCTGGACCGAAGAAGACCAAGGCGTTGGTGGCCGTAATCAGTCGCTTAGCCATAGGAAATATTTGTAGTGCGTGCCATCCCCCAGACAGGGGCTTGCTGTCTGTTATCTCCTCTGTGAGAGCTCTGGCTATACAGTCGGTCAAGGGGTGTATTAGGGCTGGCAGGTGGGATCGCAGCTCGGCTTGGAGGGCTCGTTGGTGGACGGTGCCGTTCGCACTCATGCAGTCGTCCACTCCTAGGCCGTCCATAGTGTATTTGGGCTGAAACATCTGCTCTTGTTAAGTCCTGAATGATATGTATATATATAAAGAGAAGGACGTACATCTTTGGCCAAAGCATGCAGTGACAAACAGGTGTCTGGCGCCTGGACCAGTTGCTTGATATGCTCCCTGGACGAGAAATGAACTTGATATGCTTCTGGTGTGCGTATGGCATATGGAATATCTTTTACCTGAGCAATACAGGCTCAGCTTTCCATGACCGGTTTCTGTGATCCTAATACTTACGTGTGCTTTCTGCAGTATCTCGGGTCCCTTCCAGAGATATTGGAGCCGGCGGATAACCCTGAAGATATAGATGGAAGGCTCGATAAGAATGATATTTTGATGTCTCTAGGACATGGCATTAGCAGTGCTTCTTTCTTGTATTTGCGGCTGACGTACTGGCTCTTGGGATTTGGTCCTTATGCGAATCCACAGCCGAAAGCAGAGTAGGAATAACAACATGCCACAGAGAGGGGCAGGCCCCATATTGAAGGGATACGATAAGCTCTGCATGCCGATTCAGATAGGAATGTCGTATACAACTATAAAACACACGCACACGCACACACAAGGAGGAAGATAGCATTTAGGACGCAGAACCCAGCTACAAAAAGAAGAGCCTACGGCTTCCCAGCTACTATCTTTCACATGCTCAATGTATATAATCTTGACTACCAATGTTGAGGCTGCGGGGTATTTTTCATATAGTAAGCTGTACTGCAAGAATATTACAAGTATTAAGCCGATTGTTACTGGACGTATGAGAAGCCCTAAGAGGAATGAGTTGGAATAAGCTATCATCCTCCCGTCCGGCAGGATGGCCACGGCGACTGTGATTCAGGTGCTGCACCGTACTTTAAGCATCACGTACTAAATTCTTACTCGCATCCGTTTAGCCCTACAGTTACATCGTTGGATTTACCCCGCTCGGGGTCTCATTTCATTCATGATCGTCTCGGAGGTAGATAGGGTTGATGATCTCCTTTCGTGTCCTGACACGAGAACTATCACTAAGAATAACATCCGAGACCTGCATTCTCTCGTAATCTCAGACATTTCTTAACTTGGTCGATCTCCAACTGGATGGTGTCATGAGAGTTAAGTGAGTCAGCTCGGGGCCGCGGAAAAGGTTGCAAGTCAGCTGTAGTATCCAATTTATCCTACAGACAAGTCGACATTTATGGCGAGGCAGATCCCCGCCTGGTCCCGTAAAGTCTAGGGTCTAGAAAATCCTACCCCTGTCCAGCTTACGGACCGCGCAAAAAAAGCAGTGGGATAGCGTAGCAGGTAGTTTGCCTCGTTCTCCGAAATCAAACATAGTGCTCAATATAAGGGTAATCCTGAGAGGCGGTTATGGCGCATGTCTTTCTCACACCGTCTCTTCGCTTTTTATATCTGTTCCAGTGTGTTTGTTCTATATCATGTCAGCTGCCATTCTCGACTTTGGGCTTCTCCAGCGTGAATTGAGCGTGCTCAATCTAGTTGTATGTGGTGTCATAGCGTATGTGCTCTGGCGCCTCTGGCGATTCACCGTCCGCCCTTTCTTCGACCCCGACTCTCCGAGGGAGGTTCCATATTTCATCCCATGTAAGTATGGAATGGGATGGTTGTTATCTCACTGCTTACCAAACCTAACAGTTGCTGGTACGGCCTGCTTACTAGTCACTTTCGCTCGAGACCCCCGATTGGGTAACGCTAATTACTTGGAAAAGGCCATGCAATCTCGATGCTAAGGAACCCCCATGATCTACTATCATTCGCAATGTGAGTTGCCTGTTCGATCCTTGACATTATACTTAACGTCGTCCGCCTAAGTGTGTAAAACAACAGCAAGTACTGCAAGGGCAGTGGAGAACCAGTCGCTATCAATGTATTCGGACAGACGATTTACTTCATCCTCTCCGAGCAGGATGCCACTGCGGTGCTGAGAGAACCACCACAAGTATCACATAAGGAGCACCTCAAGAGCCTCCTAATGGGCCTTGGGTGCTCAGAATTAGGGATCTCGGAGATGGATCACGATTCCCAACCAAAGGCACCAGCATTAGTCCTGGTAGCGGAGGAGTTCATGAGGAAGCAGCTCCTGGAAAGGTCTTTAAGTACTGAGCTACTCGCTCGGTCCTTGGAGGTCCTGGAGTCCCACGTTCGATGGGATGCAATCAACGCCCCAACTCTCCTCCGGACCTCTGAGGACGAGCAGGAGCGAACTGTCTCGTTGTGGAAGTGGGCGCAGACCGCGATCATCCGCGCAGTTGCTACGGCCTGGTTTGGAGATTCCATCTGGAACCTCTCACCGAGTATCGTTGAGGATCTGGTGTGTCTTGAAATGGACCTGTGGAAGCTGCTCTTCAAGTTACCACAGCCATGTGGCAAAAAGGTTCGTGCTGCCAGGGCCAGGATGCGACGCTGCTTGATAGAATACATGCGTCTACCCCCGTCTAGTCAGAGCGACCAATGTTGGGCTGTCAAAAACGCTGTACCAGAGATGAGACGCCGTAGGCTGAGCGAGGATGATATGGCTTCGTATTTGCTGATGGTTCTCTGGGGGTGAGTATTCCATCTATCTTCCTTTTTCTCTTCCCCCCCCCCTCCTTTTTACAAAGTTGACGCACTTCAGCTCCAACGCAAACATCTTCAAATTGGGCTTCTGGCTTCTCGCACACATCTGCTCAGACCAGGCGACCCTAACGGCCGTCGTGGCCGAAGTAGACGCCATTATATCAGCCAGTAACCACGCTCAAGAATCTCTCTCCGCCCTCTCGATGCGTCTGGAACAAAACCCCCTCCTCGAAGCCCTATACAACGAAACCCAGCGACTGACGATAAACTCCGGCTCCGCACGAACCGTCGAGCAAGACGTAACTATCAACGGCCGGACATTCAAAGCCGGCGCGCACCTTCTCATCCCGTACCGCCAGCTCGCCATGTCTCATCCACTGCTTGCACAGGACTGGGATCGCTTCCAACCGGACCGGTTTCTCTCTAATCCTACCCTTGCACATAGTAAGAGCTTTCTGCCGTTTGGAGCGGGGAAGCATAAATGTGTGGGCCGCTTCCTGACCAAGCGGCTAGCCCTAACTTTTACCGCGCTAGTCGTGCACCGGTTTACAGTGAGCCCGTTGGATGAACTTCCAGCCATAGAATTTACACCGGTAACTTCGGGGCCTGGAGGGCCGGTGGGGGGGAATGATATGCAGCTGGTCATTTCCCAACGAGATGTTCTATCTTAGGACAATCAAAAATTATGACAAGAGGGATATGTAACATCGAATACAACGCATGAATAGGAACAGCCCTTCCTACTACCTCGTATCTTGGCTTACAGCGAACTAGCGTAGATGAGGTTCTGATGGGCTTATCACCCACCATTCCATACTCAAAAGGGTGGCAATTCGCACAAGTGCCTTGGCCGCGTGCATAGTACCCCTGATAATTGTAACTTCCCGGCATTAGTGTGATGCGAGGCGTCCAGAGAAGTCCATGATGATGGCTGTCATCATTTCATCGTCTGCAGTTGGTTCTCCCTGCCCCTGCTCTAGTTGCACTACGACCGCCACCCTCGGCTGTAGAATTAGAGAGCCGCGACAATGCCTCAGTTGGGAAGGAGGTGGTCTGGAAAGCCAAGTTTGCTGGGCAGGGTGAGATTGGGATGGGGTGAACCGTGAAGATAAGCGGGGAGATGCATGAAGGAGGGGTAAGATTTGCTATCGAACTTGGCAGGGAGCAAGGGTGGGAGTGAAAAAAAAGAAAAGGTGTACTAATGGGTTCGATGCTACCCTCACTGCGAGGTGCAAGGTATAGTTAGCTGGCAGAAGTCGAGTGGAATGGTTCTAAAGATGCAGCGTTGCGGGGTTATAGGGTTATATTTAATCTGCATTAGTACTTCAAGAAAGCAAACACCGTTCGGTCAGGCGGAGCTGATTGAAGCCGCCCTTCCCCCTGTCAGCAACTACTACTATTACTATTGCCCTCCATCAGACTTGCCAGGTTCCTATCGCAATTTGGCCCCCCAATTATGTCTCACTCGCATGATGACTGCATGATGTTCGAAATTGGTGCCCGTCGTATACCCACCTGTGGTGATCGCCCCCGTTCTCTTCTGCCTTGGTGGCTCCAACAGAACATTCTGGGGAGTATGTGACCCTTTAAATTCAAATAACTCTTTCAGAAGAAACAGATTCTGCTCGGCAAGTCATCGCCTAGCCATGGATCCCAATTGGCCGGCCGCAACACCACCGCCAGGTGTGGTTCCAAACTTCGACAATCCACCGTCACAACGAACAGCAATCATCGTGCTGCAAACAATTTTCCTAACACTCACGGTCCTGGCGGTTTCTACTCGTGTTTATGTGCGGACATGTATCATCAAACTCTGGGGCGCCGAAGACAGTGAGTATCATGCACCATTCTGGTTCTACGTCTGTATGGATAGTATGGGATCACTGAAATGACAGGATCCAGCTACCTGCATTCTTGCCACAGTAAGTTTCGACTATGCGTCTATCACCATTCCAGCGTTCTAACAGACCAGTGCGGCGCGATTGCTCATATGACGCTCTATATCCAGAGTCAGTGGTGATTCCCCATTATCTTTGGCCCTAGCTCTAGGCTCACCCGACTATGGCAGCTCTTCCACTGGGGTTCGGACGACACATGTGGGATGTGCGGGCAATCAACCTCATCAATCCCTCTTCCAACCGTGTATGTAATTTCGAGCAGATGAATGTCAGGGAAGCTGACAGCCCCAGAAACTCTCCGCAGGCGGCATCACTTTCCCCTGGACGGTCTGCTTTGCAAAGATTTCAATCCTACTTCTGTATAAGCGCATTTTCCCGCTGCGCCGCGAGATCATCGCAGTGTGGGTTGGTATCGTCGCCGATGCGGTGCTTTACACCTTTTGCATCGCTATCGCCATCGGCAGTATGGTGAAGTGCGCGGAGCTGTCGCAGCTGAGGGACCCATATTGTAAATTCAATTCCGGAACCATGATCACTATCCAATCGGTGATCAACGTCGTCACCGACTTCTACGTGTTGCTTCTGCCCATCCCGCGTCTGGTCAAGCTGCAGGTCAGTCGACGGCGGCAGATTGGACTTTTCCTGACGTTCCTGAGTGGGCTTGGGTTCGTACCCAGGGAGCTCTCCTATTGCCATCCCTTGCAGTGCATTACTGACTGGTACCTCCTATCATTCACAGTGCCTGCGCGACCAGTTTAGCTCGGCTGATCAACTTTCAGCTCAATGACAGCGCGGATGTCTTCTGGACCACGGGTCGCAATGCCCAGTTCACGTACGTATCAAGGGCACAGCAAATCCAGGAGCGAGATACTGATTGACTGTGTGATTGTCTAGAATTGTCGAGATGAACATTGCCATCATTGTCGCATGCGCCACCTCTTTCCCAGTGTTCTTCGCCCGGATGCACTCTCTCGGCTCATCCTTTTATAATTCGGCTATCTCCCTGCTCCATAGTACACGAGGGTCTCCCAAGGCCAGTCAGACTGGCAACCACTCTAGCAGAAGGCCGACCAGTCAGCATTGGGAAAGACTGAAGGATGGCAGGGGAGGTCTCCGGCAGGACGCACAGGAGCTGGAGTTTCTGACTGACCATTCTGTTTAACCAAGCCCTAAAATAAAGAAGAGTTATCCCCTTGTAGCAAAAGTGAATTTTGATTCAGACGGCTGAGTAAGCACATAAAATATGAACAGCAAAATGAGGCAATTGACGTGGTCGTATTTATCGTGGCAATTACGAACTAGGGCAAGTAATAATAAAGATGATGCAGGGATGTTGTTAAACAAAGACAATAAAAGGACCCCAAGACCTTCCGCCCACCCCCTGACTTTCTTCTTTACTGTCAACTTCCCTTCTTCTCTGCTCTTCTCTTCTCTCTTCCAGTCTCTCATTGCTTGGTTTGTTTAACCTAAGTATGTCTAGCATCGGCCCTGTCCTTGTTACCGGCGGTAATGGCTTTATAGCCTACCACATCATCGCCAAAATCCTCGAGGAGGAGCCTGATTGCAGCATCCATTCGATAGACGTAAACCTTGACCGCAACCGCCATTCTAATCCGAACGTGCACTATCACCATGGCGATTTGGCCTGCGCCGCCGATGTGCAGCGCATCATGCAGATTGCCCGCCCGGTTACCATCTTCCATACTGCATCTCCCGAATTCTCCGATGCCCCGCAGTCTGCTTACCACCGCATCATCGTGGAGGGTGCACATCACCTCCTAGACGCTGCCGTGAAGGTGAACACCGTGCGAGCCCTAATCAACACATCAACCTCGGGCGTGATCAACGATAACCACACCGATCTCATTGATGCCACAGAGGAAATGCCAATCCTGCACCCCCCGCTCCAGCAGCGGCTCTACTGCATCGCTAAGGCAGATGCAGAGGAAGCGATCCAAGCTGCCAATCGCAACGGCGGCCAGGATGATCGGGGCATCCTAACCTGCGCAATGCGCCCCGGTCTAGTATTTGGCGAGCGCGACGTCGGCACCTTAGGCAAGATGTTCGCCGTCGCGCGCCAAGGCAAGTCCCGGTTCCAGATGGGCAATGGGCAGAACCCCTACGATTTTGTCTATGTGGGAAACCTGGCAGAGGCACACCTCCTCGCCGCACATGCCCTTCTCAACGCCTGGGGCAAGCCTCGCCCGACAGACGCCTCGACCCGAGTCGATGGTGAATGCTTCCATGTCACGAATGAAGACCCCTGGCTCTTTTGGGACTTCCAGCGGGCGGTTTCCGCCCTCACGGGGAACCCAATCCGGCCTGAAGATATTATCGTGATCCCGAAGTGGGTTGGGCTGACGCTCGGGTTCGTGAATGAATGGGTTGCGTGGATCGTTTCCGGCGGTACTAGAACTGCCAATATGACTCGTGAGGGTATTCGCTTTAGTACCCTGATCCGCACACTGAATGGAAACAAGGCCAGACGGGTGCTTGGGTATCGTCCTAAGGTGGGTATGCAGGAAGGTCTTGAGCGGAGCGTGCGTTGGTTCATGGAGAATGCGGAGGGGAAGGCCTAGCCAAGTTGGATTTTATTCGGACCCAACGATATCTGCATCCAAGGGCCGGACCTAGGCGTTTTCTAATTACACTCAACTCATGCATCCAATCGATATGTCATATTCTCCAACACGAGACTATTAAGTGTCCCATCCCACCTGAGATGGGCGACCATTAGCGAATCTCTCCTATTGTATGCAATATTAATACTTTATGCCATTTTATGCTATTTGAATCTAGTTCTCGTTTTGCATCTATGATCAAAATCGAGAGTGTGTGAGTATATGCTCGCAGTACACATTCTATGTACTACTGGTAGCAGTACCTACGTAACTATAAATAAATGCAAGCCAAGACCTTATCACCGAAGTCTATCTTATCAGTCCCCAATTTTTAAATTAAATCCCCCCCTTCCACTCTCCGCAACTCAATTCCAACCAGCACAACCTGGCAATCAACATTCAAATAGCCACACATAACGAAACAAGGATGGACCCCGACGCTAGCATCACCCCGGACCAACCCCCGGTATTCAACTACATCCTCTCCTTCCTCCTAGTCGGCGTAGCATGGGGCTTCACAACCCCCTTCATCCGCCGCGCCGCAGCCGACTTCAACGCGCGCCAGGAGAAACAACAACACTCGCAGTCACAGCCTCAAGTACAAGCATCACCGGAACCCGAAACCAACGCACAAGAACTACAGCAAACCAATACGGAACACGAACCCTCAGACGAAGATGAAGATGAAGACCACCCCTTACCAGCAGCAGGTACACAACAACAACAACAGCAGCCCGCCTGGATGCGCCACCCATCACAGTCAACAACAACATCAGGCTGGCTCAAGACGAAAACCACAACGTTGTTCTGGACGGTCATTAATCTTCTCCGTACGCCGGCGTACTCAATTCCCTTGATTATTAACTTGACGGGGAGTATTTGGTTCTTCCTTCTTGTTGGGAAACATGGTACGGATAAATATCACTGCTTTTGTTCCCCCTTTCTCCTTGCTTTCAGCAATTGAGCAATTGTTGGTTGGGTCTTTGCAACTGCCGCCCGGGCCCATAGAAAGAAAGATGTCCGTTAGTTTTGCTGATATCAGATTATAGAACTATCCCTGACGGTTCCGTTGGCTAATTCGAGTGCATTCCTCTTCACGGTTCTGGGGGAGTGGTACGTTGAACGAAAGGTTATTGAGAAGGAGACTTGGTTAGGGATGGGGCTTGTTTTAGGGGGAATTGCTATTTGTGTTAAGTCGAAGAGTTGAGGGAGAGATATATACTAGTCTGGGGTATATATGTAGGTCTTTATTGTATATGATACCTACTGGGTATATACAGAGATGGAAGAATATACTTGGTTTGTTTGGAGAGGAGAATAAAAAAGAGTGAAAAAAAAGTATGTGCATCATCCGTGAATCGAACACGGGCCTCATCGATGGCAACGATGAATTCTACCACTAGACCAATGATGCTATTGAGCTATTGGCTCTTAATATAAGGTCCCGGCTTATTTGGGCTTATATTCCAGGTTTAACAGCTGTGAAGTAGAGTTTAGAGTGCCCTAAATGAGTAGGATTATATAGACACTCGGGAGGTGTATACCGGATACAGATCAGTGGGTGAGTAGATATAGTCAGGGGTGGTGGACCACGCACTAGGGAATAGCCGGGGTAAAGATGCATGCTGATAATAAATACGATTGTCTGTCACTCTACATGGCTGGACAGGAAGGGGATGGTATCTGGGAATTACTGTACTGTTGGTTGATTGAGGGGGTGAAAATCACCATGTATTGGGTCAGCACGGTCGAAAGAAGTTAAATGTAATAATTGTCAATGAGTTCTCTCTGCACTTCACTTCCACTGTCGCACCAGGTAATGAATTGATGAAGATATAATATTCACATTGTATTCTGCATGGACTTTATTCTTTGTCGGTGATAGGCTTGCCAAAAATGTGTAAGGAACGGACCTTATAAGTAGCTTTTCTTCTCCGAGTGAGCCACTATTAAGCCTCATAGAATTCATGGTATAAGTATTACAGTAGAGAATGAAAAGAGCACGAAATCCAAATCTTGACAATTGAGATGGAGAAGTAGATGATACCAAGACCAGGCCCCTTTCTCTCTCTCTCTCTCTCTCTCTCTCCTTTTCTTTTCCTCGCTAGTATTAGGTGATGTTACATGAGGGTATTTGTTATCTTGTAGCTTGCCCTAGTAGCTTGCCACCTCAATTCATATTAATTTCCTCATTTCTCTATTCACCGCAGTACGGTTTATCTGAAGTCAAACAACTATACCAGAAGATGTGAAGTTTTGGCCGAGTACTACTTCCATGCAAGCTGGTAGTATGGAGGATACAAGTGTTATTGTCTGTCTCCCTTTTCTAAGATGTCTTTGGTTCTTTGGATGATGCGCCCCGGCACTTTAGGGTTTTGCGATAAAATTCTTGGTAGAGCGCATCCAAATTGGTTCCGGGGATCGTGTCCTAAGTTCTTCCTCTGCCGAGAGGCTTACTCTTCTTTTTGACCTTTCTAGATTCTGGTGTTATGGGTAGGGATATGAACATCTCTCAGCCCTAGAAATAAGAAGCCCTGTAAATATTGAGTAATTCAATCGAGATTGCCTTGACCCCGTGAAGATCCCATGGACTACCACCTAGGAGACGAAGAGAGAGGAACCAAGACCATCTACTACTTCTGCTAAATTACCTCCCAATATTCATGGACAGAATCCCCATTATAGGTGCTTAGCTCTCTACAAAGGTCATTTACAATTGTTCAAGCGAATTTAGGTGCAGGATAAATGTGTATATAGTGTATATCCCAGGCTCGTCCCAACCACCCGACCTTAGGGCCAGAATCTCGATATGATATCGAGATACCTTGATAAAAAGTTCAGTGAGACGGTCTGATATGATCCGTCCTCTGATATACATGAATTATATAGCATGACAAGATAACAAGAGGGTACAAACGTATAAAGAAAATAAAAAGATACAGATGACCAAGGGGTATCTTCTAACAATGCCAAAATGTGTAAAGAAATCGTGTAATGTCGTTATATAAGCCCACAAATATCCAACTTTCACGCACAAAATAATATCCTCCACCGCTGCAACCCCTAGTCAGATTTGGGAACCAGCTTGTCTTTCGAGGGACGGTGATCATGCATATTGGGGATGCCACAATCACCAGCTTTGTCACCCTGAACCGCCGACAGGTGGTCGGACTCGGGGCTGCAGCACTCAATAGCCTGAACCCAAGGATCCTCCAACACTTCGAAAATTGTCATGCGCATTTCCGGGAATGGGTGCAGCATCCGAAGAAGTAGGGTTGTAAGCTCCTTCTCCGGCAGGATTTCGGCGAAAACTGTAAGCGGGAAGTTGTCCGCCGTCACAGGTATGTCGGGGTATTCTTCGAGGAGGTACTGCCAACTTCCTTGAAAGGCTTGGTAGAGTTCGTCTTCATCGTCGGCTAGTCCCCAAGGCAATTTGCCGACGAATAGAGTAAAGGCGGTTATGGCGCAGCTCCACACATCGAGGGCTCGGGCGTCGTAATAGTCTACTAAGAATAAGTATGAATAAAATAAAGTATAAGAGTACGTTGAAAAGCAAGAGAAGGTACATACATTTAGCCTCAAGTATCTCTGGTGGAAGATAGGCTGCTGTGCCGCAGAGACGAGCAGGGAACTCGCGGACCCGGCCAAGTTCCCTTTCGCCTTTGCTATTGGGAGGGAGGAGCTCAGCAAAGACCTCAGAGAGCCCAAAGTCGATGATCTTGAGGACGTTATCATCGGCCAGGACCATGTTCTCCGGTTTAATATCGTGGTGTGCGATACCATGGCTATGCATGTATGCAACACCCCTGAGCATTTGTTTAAAGAGGCACTTTTTGGCCCCATGGCAAAGAGTTCCCCTTTCCATTAGGTCTAAGAGATCGCCATGTTGGCAGTACTCCATAACAAAGGCCAGGCGAAGCTTATATTTGCAGAGGCTAAGAACCTCGACGATATTCGGATGATGCAGGCTCCTGGCGATGTTGAACTCCTTCAGAGCCCGGTCCACATATAACCGCTCGAGCTCTCCTTCCTCTCTGTTGAGGAACTTGGCCGCGTACCTAACAAGCGTGCCCTGCTCTTTCCTCTGCACGATCTTGACTCTGGCAAAGCCACCATCGCCGATGGTGTCATTTGTCAACTCAAACTCCTTGCTGAGCTTTTGGATTATGTATTTTTCCGTCTTCTTGGGTGACGGTGACCGGGGTTTGGTGTGGCTGCTTGAGCAGTGTAGCTTCTCCATTTTGCCTTGGATGGTGACGTGTGCCATTATTATAGACACTTGCGGGGGTATTTCGAGATGTTCTGAGATAGTAGCAAGCATCGATTGCTTGATACTCGAGGTTATGGTGGTATATACCAAGCCAAAAGAGATATATAAAGCAGGCCTGATAAATGAGCTAGCTGGTAGTTTCTAAGGGAGACAACGAGTTGGATGCATTTGAGAAGATGCAGAAGATAGAGCAGGCAAATCAGGCTAGAATATCGAATGCCTGGCGAAGAATTGTCTCATAGTTGCGACTACGATACTGGGTTACCTAGTATATAGATGACGTTGCATTAATGGAGTCATCTCGATGACCCCACGGTTGTCCCAGATCCCATCCATCATAACTAGACCCATGGTTGGCACGTTTTAGGCAAACAATATACTCAAGAGGCAGATTTTGTCGGTGCTCTGCGCGGCCATAATGATATTAAGAAAGACAAGTAGTCTGGTGTAGAGGAATAGGGCCTGGCATTGGAGGAAGAGCCGATGTGAAGTATAGAATCTATTCCCCTAAGGAATGACTGGCGGCTCATACGGTGAATTACGAAACACTTTTTGAGTCAGGGTTAAAAATTTCTTCAAAAAGCTAGACAGTAAATTTTTCCTATAGGGTAACTATGATATTTGTATTACTGACGTCTGCATTACTTGGAGGCTGTTCTGCCTGCACATCCGGATACATACAATGCCCATTTTCCAAGAGGCCTCTAGACAGCGACATGGGGTGTGACAGAATGCAACAGACTCTTGACACTGCAGGACCTGTCTTCAACTTCCTGGATACAGCAAGAGGGTACCAGGCAAGCCATTCAAGACAAGTAGAGGACAAAAACGTTAGGTTGGCATTCGCAGCGAGAATTTCCTAGGGCTGTAGCGTAATCGAACCACGGTGCTGCCTTGAGTCAAGGCTTTCGTAGGAGCCTACTAATCATGAAAGCATCTCACGTGCTATAGTGGCATGGGTAGGCTCGAGAAAGGAATACATGTCGGGCTCGGAAGTCTATATCCCAGCACCTAAATTTCGTATGAGCCCTAGGCTAGCCAGGTCGTGGATCCTCTTCAGCGTGTCTGCATGCTGGGGGGGGGGGGGAGAATCAGAATGCCCTCAAGAGCATCAATGACTCCTTTGTCTCGGTCTAGAAACTTCGTAATGTGTGTGTGCACCCGATACGGTCAAAAGCTTGCATCAGAGTGAGCCAATCGCAAAGGCATCAAGTGACCGGTGCATCCCAACTACGTGGGACTTTCAAAAGTCTTGAACGCCAGTCTCCCCTTGTAATCTCGATCGGACATCATCGCCACTTGTGCCTTCAACAATCCATTCAGGTTCTTCTTCATCGAAATATCGCTCTTGCTCTTCGTTCCAGTCATCATAATCGTCATTCTCATCCACAGTAGTGTAGTCAAAGTCACGGTCTTCGCCCCTTATAAATCGCAGTGTCATCTCCCATTGCCAGATCTTTTCGCCTTCTTCCTTGCTCGTCGGTATCTCATCTTGGTCCTCCGCGAGGATTTCCCCGTTTGGGCCACGGCTATAGCTAAACATTGCATTGGGATCCGGATGAGACAGGGCATCCAACTTAGCCTCGGAGCGGTCAAGATCTGCTTGAAGTATGCCTGAGAATCCTTTGGCTCGCCCTTCAGCCTCTCGTTCCGCCGGTGTCTGGAATCGGCGGATCAAGCGATCGTACAGCAACGGGTCTACAACGCTGGAGTGTTAGCTTTGGTCATCTTTTCCCGACTGAGATAGCAAATGCGATCAGTCGCGGAAAAGAGAGGAAAGAGCGAGCGGACCGGCTAGCTCGAGATCAGCAGAGAAATACTCCGGGTGAGTATCCAGGTAACGTTTCCGACGGTTCTTGATCTGCGTCGCGGGGGATATTGGCATTGCGCCGGATGTGGTGCTTGTATCCTTCTCTGCTTGAACCCCGGTACCCATTGGAAAGAAGGGCATATTTAATAGTTAACTGGTGGGGGGGGACAGTACAATTGGTTTCCCACAAAGTGAGCAGGCAGTAGATCTCAGTAGATGAGAAGTCGGGAAGAGGTGGACTGAAATGACAAGCGGTGGCAGTTTCACGACTGGTTGGTGGTGGGGGAAGAGCTCCATTCGACCTAAACTGTTTTGGGCCGGAGGACTGCGGCAAATTTCCTTCGAGAATCAAATAATCTCCGCCGTGGCCTTTCAACCAACGAATAACAGTTCGCCTTGGCCGGAGTATGGACTTTGAGCTTTCTATCTGAGAAGGATAGGTGAGAACCACCTCCTGTTTGTTTCACATCGCGCATTGGGAGTTACGCTTGGCTCGTTCACAAGCGCTATCCCCTACTCACACCTGTCCCCTAATGCATTTGAACCTACGAATTAACCAAACCTTTCAGTGAAGCCTCTCCAGACCAGGTATCCAACGTTTCTGTGCGACTTACAAACCAGAAGCAGTAGTCTGTGGAGGTCCGACGCCATGTCGTCTTTTGAAGAAATTATCCAGCAGGTCAACTCGAGAAGACTGTGGAGAGGCGCGGCATTGCTGGCCCTCGCCGCATTCTCATCGCCTGTGTTCGTGCTGACCTTGGCTCCGGTGTACGGCTCTGCTCCGTCGCATATCTTCCATGGATATGGAGTTGCCATCGCTGCTGCTCTTGGGTGGTTCCTCAAGGATTTCATCCAGCAGGTAACCAACCGCCGGGCGGTGTATCTACTTCCAGTCGTCGCATTCTGGTATCCCACCATCCAGTACTTTTTGCTCCAGCAGAGCTCCTCGTTTGGGAACCCTACCGGTGCCGTGATTACTGAGGTAGTTGCTTTCTATCCGTTTGTTTTGCTCTCTGTCGCCTGTGCCGCCAAATTGGTGCAAGCTGGCCTCAACCTTGAACGTTACGGTGATATTGCCAAGGAGCATATCCCCCTCATCAGCTCGTATGTCGTCTATTCTTTCGGAGAGAAGCTTGCAAAATCATTCATTGCGAGGTTTATCGGTTCATTTTGGCTCTTCTCGAGCACGGGCCTCCAACTCTTGGTTGCAATCTTGTGTTCTGCCGTCATTCCATCTAAGTGGCTCCTCTTGGCTATTCCGTCTATCCTCTTCACACTCACTTCTAATGTGCATCTGCCCTTGGGGATCACAACTTCGGGGCTCAAATCCGCGCTTAATGAAGAGGGATTTGCGCTAGTAGATCGGCAGGAGTCCTCAACCGGTTATATATCGGTTTTGGATAACCTAGAGGATGGTTTCCGGGTGATGCGATGTGACCATAGCCTTCTTGGAGGCCAATGGACCAAGACCTATCGCAACTACAAACCCAAGGTTCAGGACCCGATTTATGCGGTTTTCTCTTTGCTCGAGGCCGTCCGGCTGGCGGAAACGGGCCACGGAGCTCACCGAGTAGACGCAGACAGCAAGGCACTTGTCATGTGAGTCCAATTCGAATCGCCTTATTTCATCGAGTTAACTGTGTGCCAGTGGACTTGGAGTCGGTACTACACCTGCTGCACTCATCACTCATGGGATCGAAACCACCATTGTCGAGATTGACCCTGTCGTCCACAAGTTCGCCAGCAAATACTTCCACCTGCCACCTAACCACATTGCAGCCATCGAGGACGCCACACTGTTCGTTGACCGCGCTTTGAAATCCCCCCAGCCCGCGCAATATGATTATATCGTCCACGATGTGTTCACTGGTGGCGCAGAACCAATTGAGCTCTTCTCCATTGAGTTCCTCGAAGGCCTTAACTCTCTCCTTAAGGAAGACGGTATCATCGCAATGGTAGGTTCATACCCAATCGACCTTCCATGCTCCCACTAACCCTGGACAGAACTATGCGGGCGACCTCTCCCTTTATCCGGCTGCCCTCACCGTCCGCACCATCCAGGCAGTCTTCCCCTCTTGCCGGTTTTTCCGTGAGGATGCAGGCGAAGAAGGTAACGGAGATTTCACGAACATGGTCATTTTCTGTAAGAAGGACTCTGCTACTCCTCTTCGTTTCAGGGATCCTGTCCCTGCCGACTTCCTGGACAGCAAGTTCCGTGAGACATACCTCGTGCCCAAGCATGAGATCGACCCGGCCATTTTCACCACTGTTGCTGGTGGACGGCCTGTCCTCAGGGTCAAGGAAACTGGTAAACTTTATAGGTGGCAGGACCAGGGTGCTCTGGAGCACTGGGCTATCATGAGGAAGGTCCTGCCAGATGCTGTGTGGGAGAATTGGTAGAGTTTCTCCATTATATCAAATATAGCTGTATATTATAAACTGCGCAGGGTGGGCCTTGTTCTGCTTCCCCACTACCATTTGGATAGGATAATTGACATGTTATTTGTTTGGTTTAACAACGAAGGTATTGGAACCTTAAATTAGACCACAGTTGTAGAAGTATGCACATCGACGTAATTGCCTACTCCCTGGTGGTTTTGGGCGCAGAGAAGACACGGGCAGGTTTGGATGAAATCCTGAGGAATAATTAACAAAAGAGGAAAATATTCTTCGGAGACTAGGGACTATGAATCAGAACGGCAAAAAAAGATGGAGACGCGGGGAATCGAACCCCGGACCACTCCCATGCTAAGGGAGTATTATACCACTAAACCACATCCCCAATTGGTTGAAATACAGGACCGGTATAATACATTATTAGCCTAAACTCAATATTAACCGCGCTGGGCTAATGGCGGCTTCGTCCTGTAGAAATATACTACATTCTGTATGAGTAGTACTACGACAGTATGTATTACGATATATGCCAATTAGCTCCGGAAATTCTCGAGAGTATATCCATCTGGCACACTGTATTAAGTGTCTCGACCAATTTCGATTAAGTTAAGATATGAACGATTGATGTTCGTGGTTTTCATTAGCAGATTTGTTCCGCTACCTCAACTTCTAAATGGGATGCCAGTTCCTCGGGTCAATTCGTTAAATCCATGGCCCTACGTGGTATGTCCCTCATCTACAGGTCCTGAGAATAGTATGGGCATCAATCCTCTCCGCGGTGTGGCATTGATAGTCGGCGTTGCCATTCGTGTTATATACATGGGGCTGCGTTGGGAGGGGGGCAACCCCGCAAGGAAATGAAAGTGACGCTTTGCAATGCATCCGATTTTCTCGAGACGGACAGTGGTATAATTTGTGTTGTATGTTTTTGGTTGCTAGTTTCCCTTGTTGTGCGTAGATTTAGTGACTCGATGTCTTGTGCCTGGGTCAGATTAAGTGTTGACCCTTGAAGCGATGCGGACTGTCTCTCTATCTGGGGCTTGCGGCTTTCTTTGCTGGGTGTATGCTGGGTCCACTCGCGATTCGTGTTTGTGTTGACGCCCTGTGGCTCTTCGGTGGTAGAGGTGTGCATTTCATATCAGTGATAGTGTCGAGGGTGAGATTGTCGAGGACTAGGATATATATTTGGAGGGAAGAAGAAGTAAATGTATTGTATATACACACCGAATCGATATATGAACAACAGCTATACACTGAGAAGTCAGCAGTAATTTCATGCCATACGCATGAGTAACATGGGTTATATGCCACTATAGCTCATCCTTACAGCAAAAGAGACCACAAATAGCCACGAAGACATGGCCGTCTTCAAGGCTAATGATCAATGTTATGGCTGGTTATACACTTAGAGTTAATTTTCCCTTATGTAACAATTTAGAGAGCTGTATTTCATCCAATTGGGGATGTGGTTTAGTGGTATAATACTCCCTTAGCATGGGAGTGGTCCGGGGTTCGATTCCCCGCGTCTCCATCTTTTTTGCCCTACATACTTTTTCCCCCCCAAACATTTTTTAGACATCTACGACACCCCTCGAACCTCAACTACTGTTCAATGTGGCCTCGCCCTCCCGGAGCCGAGCTGCCCACACAATGGAAGATCCCTAGACAGGTCCTTCTGAACTCCAACCTTTCAACCGAAGTAGACCTATACTGCCTATCTACAACTGCTGAGCATCATAAAATACCAAATTATTGCCAATTGGCACCTCTCGTAAACTTCTACTACCAGACGCTGCTGTTATCCTTCAAGATGTGTTTGCATCCAGAACTACACATACCGGCACGGTTCCGAGCCTACGTATGCATTCAGGCAGTCACGGGGCGAGGAGTGGTATCTGGTTACCTTAAACTGGGGTGCCCTATCGGGTGATTTGTACGGTCACTCCATCCTGGAGGACGTTGGGTAGGTAGCGGGCTAAGGGCGTGTCTGTAGGTCTACACAAGGCTGTGTGACAGCCTAACTGCTAGATTTGGCGCATTTCGAGAAGTATCAATATTTAACGTACATGATGTATAAATGATATGCGTATGTATATAGGTATCGAAGGGTATAATGTACATAAGTCACTCAAAAACGAGAGGCCTTGGCTGTAAAAGATAGGACACAACAGCCAGCAGATCACTCAACAGAATGGAGGCGGATTTCCTCATCTGGGACGTCATCGGATGGGACATGCTTGTAAGGCTGCGTTTTCCGACGGCGGATCAAGAGATAGATGCTGGCTGCGATACCAGACACGATGCCGCAAAGTACGATGAGGACGAAAACACCACTGACGTTTCGGACGAGGTCGTACGTTTCATGTGCCAGCTGGGCGATCTGCTTCACATCCGCATCAGCCGGCTGTGAGGATTGCAAGTTGTTGTTGCTATCAGCCTCTCCAGCAATTATCTGCTTGTTATCGTTCGACTTGGAAACCTTGGGATCATCTGGTTTAAGGGTTTTAAGATCGCCCACGAACCCAGCTGCGGCCCAGTTATCGGGGATCTTGCTTCTCTGGACCCGAGAAGTGCCCAGGACTCGGCCTTCGTGATCAACCGCTTCGGCGGTCACCCAGTCCAGGTACCCGCGGGCGATAAACATCGTCTCAAAATCGGTCTTGTTAGCGGTGCCGATAAGGATAGGGTGGCCATTCTTCGCAGCCCGCGCGTAGAAGTTCCATCCAGCGACATCGGTGGCACCATTCCAACTGACATAGAAGGTAGTCGAGAGATCTGTCTGACCAGTGCCCCACACAGAGGCAACCAGATCAGGAGGTGCACTAGGGCGGCCGGTGAACTCAAACTTGTATGCACGATAGGTCGAATAGCGCGAGGAGGCAAAGTTTGCCGTTAGCAAAGTGTCACCCTCAGGGGAGAACTCAGAAATATAGCCCCTTTCGCTCCATCCAACAAACACGTTGTCGTTTGGGAGTAGCTGAGTATTGCCACGGAGACGGGTGAGGCCACCATCGGGACGGTTATAGCGTCGGATAACCTTAGCAGTCTTGGGGGATGCGCTGGTATCCAGCTCAATGAAAAGAGCCGACGATACGTCCTCGTCATTGCTGTATTCATCAGAGGCATTGTTAAGGATCGAAATGACATGGTGCGTCCCATTAGATTCAATGAATTTCACATCGTGCTGCTTGGAGAATGTGAAGTCTTGTTCAAAGTCAGTGTACTGCCCGCCCAGCCGCCACATAATATTGCCATCCCTGCCCGAAACCATGTAGATTGTGTTGGTAAACCGATAAGAGATAATGTAATCGCCATCGTCATTCTTGTCGATTGCGTTGATATGGACATAATCCCATCCTGGCGCCCCCACGGGAGGGGTCTCCTTGTTGACCGTGACAGATTCACTCAGGGCAACTTTGTCGACACCATCCCAGACATAATTAATCTTCTCCGAGCCCAAATCTATTTTGACGAACCCGCCCGACAAAACATACGTATGCTCGCCAGGACGATCCATCGTGTCCAAGGCGATTTCATGTTCCCGGTAGGTGATGGCCATAGCCGTTTTGCCATCGTCAAGGATATTAAACTCGTGTATATCAAAGGCGCCGTACTCGTCCGGCATCGGAATCTTCTTTTTGATGTTATAGGCATTATCTAGTATAACGCCATATCCATTGTCCGAGTGATCGTACGCCATTTGCCAGACCAAGGACAGGTGTGGTTTGTCACCAATGCTGTGGACAGCCTTGAAATCGAAGATGTTGCGGTTATCAAACATGGGCGAGCCAGCCCAGATGAGCATCTATAGCGCAGGGCATCGGTTAGTCGTTGTTTGAGGCGGGATTGCGGGGTGTGGGACTCAGAGTAGGGACTTAGAAAGTGAGACATGCCCCATCGCCATCATAAATATAGGGTCCAATCTGGTATGGCTTGTATTGTTGCGACGGAGGTTCCGGGTCGATTTTCCCATAAGGCGCGACGAACCAGTAGCCCGGGCTGACGCGATCGCGGTCCTTGTAGTACACTTCATATTTTAACGCCTTGACATCCGGGAGCTAGACGAGGTTCCCCTTGTTTTTTAGCAGGGGTATCTTGCGGATTCCATGGCGGGCATTTTTCGATAGTTCGAGCTTACCGTCACAAAGGACATTAAGTCGTCATTGGCGCTAGATTGTGCAAATGCCGTAAGCACCAGCTGGAGCAGTGCAACAATGGACAAAATCATTCTCTAGACGGATAATAAGGAAAAGAGCGGACAGGAGAAAGTAGCATGAAGGAGGAACAGATTAAAACCAAGTAAGATCAAATAAAAGAGTGTGTGAAGGCAAGAAAATCAAGATAAATTTCTTCATGAATTTTTGGCCACAAGCATGGAGTCCAGCACCCAAAGCTCTCTCTCTCTCTCTCTCTCTCTCTCTCTCTATGTATGTACAAGGGGGGTGGTGGATGGGAAATAGATAGTTGATCCAGTGGGAAAAAGGATGACGTTTGAAGGGCTTAGTATAAATCTACTACGTAGTAGCAGTAGTGTGCTTTGCACCCACAACGCAAATGAAACGGCACCGGGCCCAGTCTGAGAGCCTGTCTCGTATCCCTGTTGGTCATATTCGATCGCTTCAATCCCCTAGTCTCCAGAGCCGAGGATGCGCCCCCAGCCCTGCGAGTTGTGAGTTGTTAAGGTGTAACGCTTGGTGGGTCGGTGGCTTCTCGGCATTTACTGGTACCAGCCTGGGATACGTAAAGATTGTCCTCACCGTCCGGACTTCGGAGTAAAATCCAGTCATGATCTGCGTCGTGTTTCAGGCCCCCCCCTCGGTCTTATTCTTCCGTCGTGGCTTCGTGGACGTGTACCTGCTGATCGAAATAGGTTATAGAAACGTATGGGGTGTCGATATGTCGGCGTTTTACTGGAGGAACTGCGAGTGAATATGTACCATGTTTTCCGAGAGTTGAAACCACTAGGAATTCCATGGCAATAGAGGTTGATTCCATATTATACTCTGTAGAGATGCTCTAATTACGCAAAGACTGCTTTTACTTTCTCCTCAGGCCCTTACCAAATAAACACGATAATACAAGGGTTATGTTCTGGTACTATGTCGAGTATGAGTGGTTGTCTTTTTTTTTTGGTATATAATTTTGATCTATATAACATTTAGATTGTACATCTTCCATCCACTTGGGGATGTGGTTTAGTGGTATAATACTCCCTTAGCATGGGAGTGGTCCGGGGTTCGATTCCCCGCGTCTCCATCTTTTTATGCTCAGATGAGCATACTGCTCCGATGTCAAAATATCCAAGGGGAATTTCCTATTGGACCGACTTTCCTTTTTATGGCCTTCGTGTGTGTTAGACACATATAATCCGGATAGTGGCCATGTGTATTGGCGGGCTTAATGCTTCAACCAAATCTATGCATATTAGGTCTTCCACACTTCCAATGGCAGGGTAAATCTCTGGCAGACTCGAACAATTCGTGATACTACGATGACACTGCTGTAGAGATCACTCCAGCTGCTATTACAGCAGTCGGTTGTCATGGATAGATGTTCACGGGTGTTTAACGTTGGTATATGATGGTCATATCCTATACCTTAACACGGGTAAAGTATGGAGCAAATTTCATCCACAAAATCGGGTAATTCCCACTATGGGTTTGTCGCTGTAGAGGATATATCATCCAATTGAAATACAGATAGTTCATAGGGGATCAAGGAAAATAGTCTTGTGGGTAATCCGCCGCCGCCTCTCCGACTCCTAACCCAGCCTAAAGCCATTCCGGTATCAAAAAACAATGACAATGAGTGTCGCTAAGCCGATATCCTCGATGCCTGGAGTATGTACGGTGCGCGAGGGTAAATAAAAGTACAATCCAAAAAACATCAACCGAAAAGCAGGAGACTATGCCGACGGACTCCCTCGAGGGCTTCCGCCAGGCTTCTTGACCAAGCCTGCAAAGAAGTTTGCCAGGGCTTGGTTATGCGATTTCTCGCCAGAGGGTGCCGAAAGGGTATCTTTCCTTTGGGATCGATTGGCCTCTCTCTCCTAAATGATTGATTAGGCGGTTAACGTCATGACTCCGAACAAGACACGCGCCGCTGAAGTCGTCACTCACCTTAAGTTTCCTTAGCATATCATCAGCATCCACCTGAATGCCGCCCATATTGAATTGGACAGGCCCGATGTGCTCATTCACTCGGCCATTATCATCTAGCGGTGACATCTCAAGCTGGGGCACTGGTTTAGTTGTGCGATCCTTCTCGTCTTCGATTTTTAACTGCTCTAGGACCTCCAACTGCTTTGTCAGGAAGGTTTGCATGTCAGATGTGTCGACCTCAACCTTGTTTTTGCTATGTTGACTGCCAGGATGTGTCATGGATGAGTCTCGTTTGGGGTCTTTGATCGTTTGTTCGAAGATAGCCACGGCGCTTGTTCCATCATCCAGACCGGCTGCATTTTCGCCTTGAGGCTTATCATCATCTATTGGCGAACCAGATAGCGGTTCTGGCGGATCTTGAATCTCAATTGACCATGCTGTTGATACTCCTTCCATATCAAAGCCCTCCCTAATAATTCGAATCTTTCCCCACGAGTCCCAGTTTGAAGGTACTAGGATCTTATCGCGATCAATCACGTTGTGTTTGAGGGACTGTCTCTTCAGGAGCGAGTGTATACCGAGCGACGAATGTAATAAGCTCTGAAGCGAGTTGGCTAGAAAAGGCGTCGTATAGATAAGTGATGCACCATCTGCTAGCAATCAGAAAGTCGCTCGAGATCATAGGAGGCACGAAAGGGGGGTTTTTTTTTTTTTTTTTTTTTTTTTTTAAAAAAAAAAAAATTTAAATAAAAATAAAACTCACGTTTAAGAAGAATCGTTCTCATGAACTGGAGAATGAAATCGAATTCCTCCTCGTGCCAGCCGTGGTCCTTCTCCAGTTTCTCGATCGTATCAGCCTGCAGCAATTGACACCGTCAATAAATTATCCCCTCAAACGATGCTGTTCGCATGTATGGTGTTCCGGGCACTACGTACTCCCTGACAGACCACACACATAGGAATTCCTAGCCCCTCGTCCCATTCGCCGGGCCCCAAAGGTATCGTGACCGGACCGCCCGAGCTGGTCAATCCTTGTGCTCCTGTTGAACTGGGATCCATGCCCCTCTTTCGGTCCCTCCACTCTGTCATAGTTTCTTCCATCACGATTTTCGTCTCATCATCTAGAGAAATAAGCACATGTCGCAAAAGGCGGACCCATTCCCTTAGCCGCCGGACCCATGTCCAAGGATCTGACCAGTCTAGCAGTATCACGACCAGCGTCTCCGGGACAGATTGGGCGGTCAAAAGCGGCTTGAGAAGGGGCGCAAAAGATAGGGAGGGTTCGGAGAGTAGATAGGCAGAGACACGCGCCAAAGTATCTTTTAAACTACACATTAGCCCTATTCAAAAGCGCGGAAATGCCTTTGAAGGTGTGTAAGTATGATCATATTTACCTTCGTGGTCAGCATCTAGAACATCTTGGTAGGTATAACCCAAAGCGAACTGATTGGCAACCGGGGGTACCCTTCCCTTCCGCCGGTCGTTTGACAGGTTGGGGTCTGATGTGTCGGCAGACAGTGTGTCTAAAAACTCTCTTTGGCTCTCGGGGGTACCTCCTGGAAACAAATATACCTGATTAGCGACACACAGGGCCTTTCTGTAAGCGTCGGGGAGGTCGAGGCTGTATACCTAGGATGAGAAGATTCTTTTCCGGTAAGCGCTTTCCGTTGGCGACGCTATCTAACATAGAAGACCAGATATTCTTTTTCGGGCCATCTTTGCTCGACGGTCGACTGTTGTTTCCCGACCCGAGCTTGGGCCCGGGATTGTGACTTGAAGCGAACATTGTCTGTCCAATCTCGACTGTATTTAGCCGGCGCGGACCATCCCAAACGGTCGCTAGACAGCCCTGTCAATATTCCGACGACTTTAACGCGTGGACCGCGAATTCTCAAGATCGGTGAAATAATGGAACAGCGGTCGGAACAGTGTCAGGGGATATGGATCCGTAGTCGGTATACTCTGTTAGCCGTTCAGACAGAACCGTAGACAATATCTGTTCCCGAGAAGAATAAAAATGTCTTCAATATAGCTAGCAGCCGCCTATGAGGATGTTGAAATTTCCAAGGGTGTTGCGAGGAAGAGTTCCGCAGAGGGGGGAAATTACAAGTTATCCCGTTGTAAACAATAGTTGCAAGCGTCGCCGTTCTTGCGGGTGGGACCTCCCGCGGAGGCCGCCCGTGATTGATCTCTTTGCAGCTTAGTCCCGCTCCCCGAGACGTGGTAGCTATCTATCTTTTGCGCCAGAAAGATCTACCCCAGCACGTTCAGCTATATACAGGTCTACTCTCCTTCTGTAAGCGTGACATATGCTTATCTCGCTCACTCACTCGGAAGTCGCATCGTAATAATGAACGCTATCCGTCAGATCCAGTCGCTCAATAAGCGCGAACTTGAAAATGCAATGTGCGTGGTACTTTTGCTCTAGATTGGAATCCCGTCCCCCAAAGGATATCCTGCTAACACTAGTTAACTGATACAGCCCACCTGAAGCGTCCTGGCACGCCGATTACCGAGACACAGCATACATCTACATTGGTGGTCTGCCATTCGACCTCTCCGAGGGTGATATTGTGACCATATTCTCGCAGTATGGCGAACCAGTTCACGTGAACCTTGTGCGCGATAAAGAAACTGGAAAGAGTCGAGGATTTGCATTTCTAAAATATGAAGACCAGCGCAGCACAGACCTTGCCGTTGATAACTTGGGTGGATCCACAGTTCTGGGAAGAACGTTGCGCGTGGACCACGTGAGATATAAGAGGAGAGATGATGAAGAGGAAGGGGATAATGTCGCAAAACTGATGGGCGACGCAGTCGCTAAGAGCGCAGATGATGGGGATACAGATGATGAGCGACGAAGGCAGAGAACGAGAAGAACCGGTGAAGACGAGTCCCGAAGACGACCTCTATTGAAGGAAGAGAAGGAGCTTGAGCAGTTAATGGTGAACCACGATGAAGAGGATCCGATGAAGGAATATCTCATACAGGAGAAGAAGGAGGAAATAGCGCGAGCACTGGAGAAGTTTAGCCGAGAAAAACCATCCCGCAGACGAGAATCTAGTAGGGAAAGGTCGAGTCGCCATCATCGTCACCGCCACCATCGCCGCCGGCATGATGAAGACCGCCCCCGTTCACGGGAGAGGGGTACCCGAAATCGACGGTCGCGCTCGAGAGAAGAGCGATCTTATAGGGACAGATCGCCAGCAAGGAAGGAGAGAACCTACCGAGATAGGACGCCAGTGGGATCGCGATCGCCAGAACCACGGCGGAATCGAGATAGAGAGGACCGACACCGATAAATTTCTAACATGTGGTAATGCTTTCTATAAAGAGGTGACAGATTTGGTCATATTCTCTACATGGTCGCTGGGGCACAATTGATGAGCCGCTAGCTTAGAGCCAGATGCCCATCATCTTAATGATGAAAGAATGCACGGATCAGCCAAAGCGTGGGATAACAGCCACCAATTGAAGTAGATGCCCTGACATCCGTTATCTGCCATGTGCAGAAAAGAGCCTGTCAGGTCTCATACTGCGACGTTGACCTCAAGCATTTGCCAGACAAATGGTCCTTTTGCTTGTAACGGGAACAAACACCATTGTCCCAGAAAGACGCGTATAAGTAGTACTCTTAATGCTAGACCTCTTTCCCGCATAATGTTGCGGAGAACTCCACTTCAACTGCCTCCTAAGTATCTTTTCCAGCCTTCCCTCATACAGTAGCGCTTTCCATCGCCGTCTTCACGAAGGACGAACTTCTCCCAGCGTCCGTCCCTGCCTGATCCCAGAACGAGAATTGTTTGGTCGTCGGGCCATCCTATCACACCTTTAAGAGGTCTCCCAAATGAGGTCCCAAGAGGTGGCACATAATGAGAACCTGGTGCCGATTCGTCGCCAATCTCAAAAGGAGCACTTGCAAAAGAGTAAACATCAGAGAAAACCCTGGGAAGCAGCGGGATTTTCCCAAGGATGCCCCATTTCTGGTTCGTTCCCTCTTCCGATGATTGGGATGCTAGTGGATTGCGATGCGAAGGGTTTCGTGGGTGAGGGAGATCAAAGACGTGTAATGTAGACTTGTCTGATGTTACGGCTAATAAATTGTTCGAAGGCGAGATGGCGAGAGAGAATATCACTGCCTGATCGACCCCCCGCCGTAGTTCAGCCATTTTCGTGCAATTGCTGGTGGAGAATACCCGCACCAGAGTCCCCTAATGTAGTAGTTAGTGATAGATCTATTTTATAGTCAAGGGTTCGCGGATGATACCATTTCACTCGCTGTTGCAAGCACCTCTCCATCCGGGCTCAGCGTCATAGCACGTAATGGCGAGCTGTGGGCAGGTATGATGCTGACGTTCCCTGTTTCTAGCTCAACTAATTGTACTTGCCCGGGAGACCGTCCAGGGAAAGCAAGCAGCTTCTGCCCCAAGCAGGCTAGGCCCATCGGATTATCTGTTGTTTCAAAGACAGATAGCTTTTGCGGGGGGTTTGAAAATGCGAAGATGTGGATGCTGTTCAGTAAAGCGACGACAATTCGCGATTTTGACAATCGGACGCCCAGTACAGAGGTACGGAACTCTAGAGTAATGACTGCTTTCTGTTTGGCATCGTCCCAGATAGCCAGCTATGGAGATGCGTCATGAGTACACAAAAGCCGAGTGTTGCAGTGCTAGAAACGTGGTAGTCTACCCACCTTGTTTTGGGGAAATTTAGGTTGCCTTCCTCCACCGACGATGGCTAAGTAGTTTGTCTGTCCAAGCATTACCGCGACACCGATACCTGCATTGAAGTCTACAAGATACATGAAATTAGCGGCATTGAGGCGACTACACGGACCGGGCTTGGGTATGAAGGCCAACGGAGCTTGCATACCTCTTGATACTTTCAGCTCACAAGGGTCGGCATCAAAGACTACAACGGGTCATTCTGCTCTCAGCTTGGTTATTCCCCCAAGGTAATTCTGATGCGTAATTAGAAGACATACCACAGAAACCCGTATCAAGGCCAACAGAAAAACAGCTGTTGTCATTATTGAAGGTCGCGGAAAGGGAGAATGGCCCCACGGATTCATCAATAACCTGCCGGGTATTCATGATGCTAATTATAACGAAGGGTTATCGAGCCAGGAGACTGAAACCGATGCTATAACGGAAAGTACCCAAGTAGATATTGAGTGCATTCAGGCAGCTTTATCACCTCTAAATAGCAGAGGTCACCAACTGGATTACTAACCAGGAACGTTGATGTTGAGTTGAGGGAGGCATTCGCTGGCTCAGGCAAGATGAGTTGGTCTCCCCCGGATTAGGTATGGGAAGAGTATGATGAAACAAACAGCCAATGAGTCGATGGCCGCCAGGCCTAGGTTCAGGTTACTAAGTTGTACATCCACCACCACCACCACAAGTTCAAATCCCGCCCTTATCGTTTCTTTTCCTCTCACCCAACGTTGCTCTTTCTTTCTGCGTCTCAGATTGACCCTCCACGGACCATGACCGTGCCATCATTGCATGGATGGGACGTTGCCTTTTTAGGCTAAGATTGATTTTAAGTTACATCCTAACTATTCATGGTAATTTTCGGGTTACATTTCTCTGCCTATATTTTAACGTCATCTACTCTGTCTGCACGTACATGCGCACTTTTCTTGGAAGACCGTACCCTATCTAACTACAGTGTGAGGACTATGTGGATACTAACGGGTCAGTAGTAGTCGTGCTACAGACGCCGTACGTATATATCTAGGACTTTTGAATGATATAACTACTATATTCCCCGGATTACAACAGGTACACCTATAGAAGCTTAAGCTGATGAAGATTAGCTGCCATTCTCCAAGTATATCAATGCAATACCAAAATCTATCACTAGTGCCCCTGTGCGCATCTCCACTGGAGATCGAGTGAGCACTACATAGAGTTATTGTTGCCCTAACGGAAGAAAGCCCGAAATAGATCTCGAGGAAAATTCAAGAATGACGGCAGTAGCTAGTGCTACAGAGACCATTGTCTTGTATCACCTAGAGTATGAAGAAAATACCCATTTGTTTTTCAGAGATCAAAGAGTTGTGTTCATTGAAGTATTAAAGCTTCCTGCCTAAACGGCCATTAGGTTGTACTGTGTATTGTATGTATGTACCGGGCGCGTTTTCAGTACCATTTGAGCGGTCCGCAGCGACCCACTGCTTCTTCCATTGGATGTCCCTCAACCCCTGAAAAGGATATGGACTGGGGGGACTCAGAAATGGCCGGATCAAGCCAATAAAGTATGAATTCAACAATGCACAGGGCTATTGTAAAAAAAAAATATATGAGAATGAGACGAGTTCTGGCCCAATGCTAAGCTTAGCCATCTACTAGGTATCCTCATCTGTCACAATTGCGATTCTACTCGTAAATGGAGAGCAATAATTGATGATCCTCATGTCCATATCGGACAGGTAAATTATTGAGAAGCCAGGTACCTGTCGAAGGTACCTGACAATACGGTACCGGTTCTGTTCATAAGTGAAATTGAACCTGGAGAAGCGAACGGTAGACGTGATTGGCCTGGGAGAGCTCAGAACTTGAAAAGGAAAGGGGTGGTAGCGCTCCTGTAGCGATGGTTGTATCAATGATACAGTGTTTGTATAGTACATGATACCATACAGGGACAGCCTGAGTGCCTTACTGTACCGGAGCTAAACTAAACAAACTAAGGGAGAACCACTTTCCCCCTAATGGGCGAAGTAAGGTAACGTCTCTCTTCCTCTCACTCCAACTTGTCTGCTGCTCATTCGACCTCAGGAGAGCAGCGATTTATCCCATCCTCCATTCACCTTCTTCTCCCGGTCCTTTCCTTAGCCAAAACCACTTTTTGTGCTTAGCCGCTCGCTTTCTTCCTTCAACTTCCTTCTCTTCTTTCTTATCCTCCCCCCCTTTTCTCCCCACGTTCTCTCCTTATTTAGCCCACCATGTCGTCGGCTCTCAACGCGGTATGTTACTTGTTTCCCCTTTCCACACTCGCTCCTTAACCATATCAACCTTTTGCCCCTTCTCGACCTTCACCAAACGTACAATTATCCCTGAATGGGTCTCTCTCTCTAGACTCTACTACCCAATCTACTTCACATGAGTTACTGATCATGAGTTCAATGTCCTATAAACAGATCAAGCTCCGTCGCAAGAAGAATGTCAAGAAGGGTATCCAGTTCTGTTTGATGGTCTGTGGTGCTAGCGGAACTGGTGCGTATTGGAATTGCCCCATACTCTACTCAACTCCTGTGTGGGAACTGACCAATCGCTATTCTGACAGGCCGTACTACCTTCGTCAACACTCTCTGTGGAAAGCAAGTTCTGGAGGGCAAGGACGCTGATGATGCTGCCAATGCTCATGTTGAGGAGGGTGTCCGCATTAAGCCGGTTACGGTCGGTAAGTCGATATTCGAATCGACATTGGAATGTATGGATGCTAATTGGGCGGCCCGAAGAGCTTGAATTGGATGACGAAGGCACCCGAATCTCTCTCACTATTGTCGATACCCCCGGATTTGGCGACCAGATTGATAATGAAGCAAGGCATGTGAACGCCGCTAGTGCTGGATTCGCCGCTTGCAAGACTGACCGGTTTACAGCTTTGGTGAGATTGTTGGATACCTTGAGCGCCAGTACGATGATATCCTTGCCGAAGAATCTCGAATCAAGCGAAACCCCCGCTTCAGGGACAACCGTGTCCACGTCCTTTTGTACTTCATCACACCGACTGGCCATGGCCTCCGTGAGCTGGATATCGAATTGATGAAGCGTCTTTCGCCTCGTGTCAACGTCATCCCCGTCATCGGAAAGGCTGACTCCCTCACTCCTGCCGAACTGGCCGAGTCCAAGAAGCTGATCATGGAGGATATTGAGCATTACCGCATCCCTGTCTATAACTTCCCTTACGATATTGAGGAGGATGATGAGGATACCGTGGAGGAGAACGCCGAACTGCGTGGGCTTATGCCGTTTGCCATCGTTGGCTCTGACGACTTCGTGGAAATCGATGGCCGGAAAGTACGAGCCAGGCAATATCCTTGGGGTGTTGTTGAGGTTGAAAACCCTCGCCACTCTGATTTCTTGGCGATCCGAAGTGCTCTTCTTCACAGCCACCTTGCGGATTTGAAGGAGATCACCCACGACTTCCTCTACGAAAACTACCGTACTGAGAAGCTTAGTAAGAGCGTTGACGGTGCCACTCCGTACGTTATCCACTCCTTCCCTTGCGCTAATGTTGCAGGATACTGACCCCTCTAGCAGTACCCAAGATTCGTCGATGAACCCAGAAGACCTAGCATCACAGTCTGTCCGCCTGAAGGAAGAACAACTCCGTCGTGAGGAGGAGAAACTCCGCGAGATCGAACTCCGGGTGCAGCGTGAGATTGCTGAGAAGCGCCAGGAATTGCTGGCTCGTGAGAGCCAGCTGAGGGAGATCGAGGCTCGTATGGCACGGGAGTCTAGCAGCCAGGACGTCGCCAATGGTGATGCTTAATTCAAACTTGTCAGAGACTAGTCTTACGTGCGCATTTGGCACCGACCGTGTCGACGTAATGGAATTTATGGCGCGGCGGTTGTATCCAATGGGGTTAATATTGATTTTCTTATTCACGTTAATAACTTCGTTTGAGAGGGGGGAAAGGGAAAATGCAACGCTCGTTGATTGACTGGCGCCATTCTTCCCTTTCCTACAAAGAGGGATTCGGACAAGAGGCGATGAAAACTTTGCTGCAGTTCCCCACCTACTTTTCCGGCTCTCAATGATTTCTTCTATGCCTTCTTCCATTCGGCTGGGGCCTTGTCTCGTTTCGCAGCCCGTGTTTGTGATGCTCGGGGTCAAAGATAACATCTTTTAATCGTTGACAATTGTCACTGGAGCACCTGCATAACTTCCTTCCTTTTGCCATCTTATATACTTCTTTTTTGTTTTTTTTTATCTCTTCCGCCCTTTGTTCCTTTTTGACTCTTATCATCAATGACACCTGTCCCAATCTCAGCAGCGCAGCAAGATTCCCTCTTTTGTCATTTTATCATTTGTGTTGTGGCTTACGTCTTGTCTCTTATTATTCTATGTCTCCTAGTTGAATAGTAGTACATCAGGAAGAAAAGTACCTTACAGCTCGTATGGCTGGCGTAGGTCGCATACAAGGATTGATGATGCAAGGTAAAAATGCCAAGAGCCGGTGTAGGTCTGGACCACACACTGGATCTTTTAACAAACTTCCTAGATTTCAATGTTTCTGATCCTTATCCCTCTAGTTCGACTGATCCGGAACTGCTAGAGGCCACAGAGCCGATTACAGTTCTATCGCCTCCCAGCTCTTACTAAAAAAAAGGGGAAGAATGAAAAGACAGTGAAGAAGGGGAACTAATGTAATGTAGAAAGACAACCAAGAATAAGCTCAATGATAAATGGGTCAGCACCAGCTTTCCTCTCCATTGTATGTAGATTTGCTATGGGTAACTTGAATGGTATGAAGAAGACATACACCAGGTTGACATGACCTGGGGAAAGAGATTATACGTTGAATGCAAACAACATGGGCGAAAAAGGAAGAAAGAAAAGGGCACACAAGTGACAAATAACAATAAACATGTGGTATTTGCGCTTCATTGTACACAGTGGGAAGTAGATAAATAGTGGTAGATAGAAAGGCTGACTTGATACAGTTCAAATCAATAACATAGAGGTATTAGAAAGGAGAAAGAAGATGCAAGAAGCTCATACAGAAGAGAGGAATGCCTAACGAAGCGAGATCGTATGTATGCCTTTCGGAATGACAAAAGACCGGTCTAAGAGCGATCAAAATAAACTTGAAAAAGAGCAAAAAGTTATCTCTCATTTCGTCCATCTCTGTTTCAACTACTGCTGCGGCTTGCTGTTCCAGAAATCCAAACTGGCTACTACGTCTTCACCTGTTTCGTCTTCGTAGGCGTACAGTATCTAGAGATAGATTAGTATAGCTGCATTGGTATGAGTTACTCTTGTTCGACATACCTCTCTCGTGGAGGAATGCAGCATGCGAATGTTCTTCCCAGTCATGATGTGGATCAGCTCACTCGTCTCGAAGTGTCTGATTTCTATGAAGTTCGGTTCGAAAGCGAGGATATAAGGGTAGGAGAGTGCGAAGGCATTGGGATTACCCTCCCATGAAATCCTCCAGTCCTGACGAGCACGCCAGCCATTGCGGTTGACAAAGAATGAGAAGTCGCTGTAGTTGAGAAGAAATTCGCCGTTCATTCGTTCGATATGAATGGGTTTAACATTTTCCTTGCGTGCCACAAAGTCTAGGGAAGTGTCGGCTTGATCTAGGAGAGACTGTGTCTCGGTCGTCTCAAGACTAACAACCTCAAAACCACGGGCACAGCCAACGCAGAGCGTGGAACGGAGAAAATGAATTGAGGAGGATTCGGCGGGGATATAATATTCCTAGAAGTGTTGTTAGAATGATATCAGAAGGTATATTGCACTGATTGCAAGGAGTATACGAACTTTGAAGAGTTTTAAGGTGTCTTGACCACTCTGGAACATCTTCAACTTTTTCTTTCCCTTTGCCAGGTTGTCCATGGGCTCGTATACCTTGATAGTAGTTGACAGAGCAGAAGTTTTGACAGAGCAGACCAGATGGCGACCAAGTCCAATACCAGCTTTGAAGAAATTCGCATGGCCTTGAATCTTCTTGGGCCTCTTCGCTATTGTGTTCTGGCCCTCTCCTATATCAAGCACTTCCATCGGATAAGAGAACAGAGTTTTGTTCGCCAAGACTAAGAGCAGTTGATACTCTTCTAGAGTGTCAATTTGAGTTACCTGGCTGACATCCAAGACTCGCCTTGGCTTCGCAGACTTATCCCTTGGCCAACGCTCCGAGAGATAAATGCCACTATCTGTACCGTACACCAACTTTCTACCACCGTCGACAGGGACAAGGCAATTTACCCGATTGACTGCCGTGAAGAAATTCTCACAGAGCACGGTCTTGTTGTAGAAGTTGCTGTTCCGCTCCCTCAATTTTCTCTGTTGTTCTTCCACCAGTTCAATGAATTTCCGTCTTTGCATGGGGGAGGTGGCATAAAGAGTTTGTTCGTAACCGCCTTTGCCAAGATGTCTGAAGGTTATAGGAAGCCCATCTTTTGTGTTTGGCGGATTCACGGTTGCTTTATTTGGGAGCAGACTAGATGAGGGTCTTTTCGCGAGTCCCGCCCTAGGTATTACCTCGTCCATCTGCGCAATGACCAGGAGTTCTAGAGGAATCGGCTTCCGATAGACTCGATACTCCTCGCGCTTGTTCACAACCTTGATTCTCACCAGTAAAACAGCATGGTCAAAAAGGTATGCGGTGACCTCGGAGGTGTCAGTCGGTGTCTTCCGGAAAGCCATTTTTGTCAGCATCTGACGGTTCTCCTCAGTAAGCTTCAAGTCGACATAGTCACCAGGGTTAACAAATCTTAGAGCTCCATTGAGCTGAACGAGGTTGAAATGGTTCTCAGCTCTTCCACTCTCAGCGTTAACGCGGGACAAGAAATCCTTGATAAGCTTGATAGCTTTGGGAATATCTTCTTTGTCGGGGTTATCATCCGCCGTGTTTTTCACAACCTGTTCAAGTAGTAGTGGATATCTTGCGAGACGGGTGGTCGGTTTGGTCAGGTATCCATTCAGTTCTAGCTTTCGTGACTCCTTCAGTCGCTCGGTTTCTTCCACAAACCTCGCAAAGGCTGGATTAGACGCCTTCTCTTTCTCGAACTCGTACTTTCCGTAGAGTTGATTCGCGCCGTATTTGATAAACGGGTCGAATCGTGGAACATGTTGCAGGAATATATCGCCAACTCTCTTCACTACGTGACTTTCCTTTTGTCTGGCATTGAGAGCTTCAGCCAAACCGCCGTTAACTTTCAGGACCTCCAAGCAGTTTCCAAATACTGTACGGATGAACTTTTCTCGTCGGTGTTCTGGAATGGGTGAAATGTTTGTGTTGCCAGCAGAACGCAAAGGCCTCATCCAGAAATCTCGCAGATACTCCAAATCCTTGACAAAATCGCGTTCTGTGTACATAATCTCGAAGATAATTTCTTGTCGTTTCTTTTCGCGATCATCGATGCTATCGGAGACTTCCTTTGGGACCATGTTAATCCATAATTTCTGATTGTCATTATCATCATCGTCTCCATGTAAGCTTCCTTTGGACGCAGACGACCGCAATCCCGGTTGCAGTTTGAGATTCAGTCGTGCCTGCTGCTCCAGTCTTCTGGGGCACGCAATTGAGTAGCATAAGCTGTCGCGATTACAAGTCGGTGCATAACACTCAGTGAGAAGAGTGAAAACTCCGTTGACTGCAGAACTGGGCGCTTGGGGCGCTTCCCCTGCCACGCTTTCTTTGAATGCATAGAACTCACCAGGGGAATCTCGAAGACGACGATGGGCGTACGTCACTTCGTGGAAAAACTTCTGAGCATCCAGGGCACGCCCTAGAAGAAGAGCTAGATTCCGATCGTTCGTCTTGATGATGTAGCTAATCAAGTCCACCGCATCTGCGCCAGTAAAGGTGCTGAAATAAGTTATATCGTTTTTTTGTCGCTCAGTAAGCACAATTTTCTCGTAGAAGGCATCAGCAACCCGCGAAAGCAAAGCTGGATAAACCAATGGCACCTTGCTTTTACGGGAGTTGCTCGCCACAAGAGTTGTCTGGCTTTGCATACTCGTTCGATCTGCCACTGCCGTCGAAGCCATTGACATGGAGCGTGAGGTCGTCGAACCATCACTCGGTGGCCGCGGCCTGCCATCGGCATTATGGGCGGCAGCTGGGTCCATGTCTGGCCGAGAAGAAGGCGGTTGGCTAGAGCCCGAAGGCTGTCTTCGAGTAGGGATTACTCTCCCTGTGCTCGTGGTATGGTTGTATTCCGAGCGATCAGTCGAATAAGAAGTCAATGACATAGCGCGCTCGTTTCCATGCCTCTCCGGCACAACTCGTCCCTGTGCAGTCATTGGGGCTGCAGGGTTGTACGGCTGTTGGCGAAAAGCGCTTGCAGAAGTATGATTAAAGCTACTAGGTGGTGGTTGATATAGTGGCGGTCCTCCCATTCTTGCCATTGACCTTGATCTGTAAGCATCTGAATTCAGTGCAGGGGGTGGCACCGGCCGGCCATATCCTTTTGCATCCGGATATTGTGCTGCTGGGCTCGGCCGTGAGTCTAGCCGTTGGGGCTGAGGATAAGCGAAGCGTCCAGGGTACGGTCGCGGAGCATTCTGGGGAGACTGGGAAGTCATAGTCGCGGACCCAGGGTACGCTTGATAGTATCCGTTCGGGGCACCGGCTGGATGTCCATTCGGAACCTGGCGTGTCGGTGGTGGTGGACCTCTCTGCATCTGGGGATGCGGCACGTGTGACGACATAGTGTGAGCCCTGTCTTGAGAAAATTGGGGAGTTTGTGAAGTCATTGTCTGAGAGCGGCCAGGCGGTGGTGCCCCACCAAATATCTCAGAAAATGCAGCATCTCGTTGGAAAGATGAAGGATGTCCGTAAGGCCGGTAGTTCCGGCCTTGATGGCCTCCAAGGTCGGCCATATTTGATCTTCCCTCGTTTTCTCTTTGACCCTGATCTCCAGGCTTATTCGGATAGAATGGAGGAATAAGATGACGACTAGCGAGTGTACCGGAAGGGTGAACTCAGACCCTGGTGCAGCGAAAGGGTATCGGAACCGGCGTGGAGAGCGTGCAGAGCGTCGCGAGATGATCGTTGGGAATCGTGGAGAAAGGAGGAGGGACAAGGGAAGAAAGAAAAAGAAATGTAGGCAAGAGAAAATGATACTCCACAGACGGTAATTTATAATCAAATAAGAGAAGAATAAAATTCAATAAGAAAGAAATTTCCTAGACACAAAATAACCCCGAGCGTATCATGCCTCAATGGGGAGGCTTCGGTCCTGAGACGATTTCAAAGCCTTGGACGAAGGTGTTGACAAGACCGCGTGGTGTGTTAACGATGGAAGTGCGCTACTAAGGAGCCTTGAGCGCAACGGCAAGCCAGGGCCCCCTGTAAGTTCATAGCCTTAGCATCCTCCCTCGGGACTAGTTCGATCGAGGCGAGATAGATGTGAGTCCAGACTGTGGGTGACAAGAGAACGGACCAGACTATATGAAAGTTGGGGGGGAAAGAGGGGAGGAGCGGGGGGTGGAGGGTATTTGGAAGGGGAGTATGTATGGGAAGTGGTGAAGAATGGTCCGTCCGTCATGGAAAAGCACGGGGGTTGTTGGGTTGAACAGGCACATGTCAGACTTAACCCGGATAGGCCAGGAGTGTGGCTCTCAGTGCGGCTGGTACGGTGGCCCGGACGAGCAACTTAGGACAGACAACATCCTACTACTAGTAACCAGACCGACCTTAGTTCGTAGTCTTCAAGGTAAATGTTCTTCTGAGCTGCAACAACTTTGGTTCTCAACGGAGTATCCCTTTAGTCGCGCGTGCATTTCATTACCTTTCCCTTTATTGAGGTTCATTTCATTTCTGATCCTGTCTCTTTCCCCCCGGTCTTTTGTTTGTCCTTTCCTCATCTCCTCCATTTACCATCGGAACCTGGTCACAATGGTGGTGGATAGCGAGTTGGCGCCAAAGTTCGCCCCCTTCTTCTCCTTTGTAAGTGAAATCACTTGCAACGCGATCATACCTGATACCCTAGGAATTCGCTGACTTCTTGTCTCCAGGCAGGGATAGCTGCAGCTGTGAGTACTCCGTGAATGTCCCCCGACATCTGACTGTTCTCTAACGGCCTCTCGAAAGATGATCTTCGGATGTATGTCTACACTTGAGTATTAAATGGTAGCGATCATACGGAAAATTGGGATACTTACACACCTTAAGCAATGGGTGCAGCATATGGAACCGCTAAGTCCGGCATTGGTATCTCGGGTGTGGGAACGTTTAGGTCGGATCTTATCATGAAGGCATGAGTGACATTTCCATCCAAAACTATCTAGCGATACCATTGGCTTGTCTTGCTGACTGAAGTAGTCGTTGGTTCCGGTCGTTATGTCTGGTATTATCGCGGTGTACGGCCTTGTCATTGCAGTCCTCATCGCACAGGACATGCAACCACCTCCGCTACCAAGGATGAGCTTATATACGTACGTCCAATTTGCGAATTGCGTCTCAGTCTGGAAGTAGTATACTGACGGCACACCAAGTGGGTTCATGCACCTTGCATCAGGACTGTCGGTTGGCCTCGCAGGCATGGCTGCCGGATACACTATTGGAATTGTTGGAGATGCGGTAAGCGGTCTTTGCACGGCTATGTGTACGTCTTCACACTTCTAACAACTAGTCAAGGGTGTACGTGCGTACCTACAGCAATCTCGGGTCTACGTCGGGATGATCCTTATCCTCATCTTCGGCGAAGTGCTTGGTCTCTACGGGTATGTTGCTATTGTTATACATGAATATGAATATGACGCTAACTGTGATAGACTTATTGTGGGCCTGATCCTGAATTCTAAGAGCCACCCTTAAACTGAGTTAAGGCATTGTATTTTGATATTCGATATGTTGGCGACTTGCACTTGACTGCTTTACCAACCTCCTTGAAATTCATCTATACCAAGGGCCCACCACTTCGGATCATGGGTTATTTAGACGACTGCGAAGGCAGCAGCGATCTGCTTCCCCTTCTGCGGCCACGCTTTGAGTGTCCCTCGCGGGTGTTCCGGTTGGAACATCATCCCCTTTTAGCCTTCGGGAGACTGTACTAGTATATGCCTACACGCTTTGGATAACAATGACAATATTGAATCTTATACTTTGTGTTTTTAAGTGAATGCAGTCTATCTTCTTGCTTCTTTCGCATAATCAAAGCAACATATGGAAACAAAAAGACCGGCACTCGGGTGTGGGTAACAGTGGATGCGACCGACTCCAACCTCGCGCCCATCCCGCGGGTTTGCCCCGCCAGTCGGTAGGTAACGTCAGAGTCTCCCGTAGTGCCGCCGACGACCTCACCACAGCTCTTTCATCCCGCAATCACCTTAATCTTCGCTCTCCCCCACCGCGCCACTCCCATACGTCCAATACAGACTCAATGGAATATTACGTTTACATCGCATTCTAGTTTTGATTTTAGGGAGCCTCTCAGTCCCCCAATTGTCATTTAAAGTGCTCCGCTCTTCTCCCCCCCAAAATCGGGGTATTCGGATTCCTGCGGTTCCCCGAGACATGATCTTTCCCCATCCCCATGGCTACAGGAACGGTCGACCCTTCGGCCCCTAAGGACGTCCAGGGGACATCGAGCCCGACCGGAGACATCGATACGGGGTCAAGTAATCTTCACGACAAAGAAAAACAGATGGTGGCTGCTATCCGCCCGCCGCACCAGCGACATTTGAGTCCTTTCGTCATCACTGAGCGGCCGGAGGAAAAACAACTAGGCGTGTCTACCCGCACCTTGACAGTTGATGACTTTGCACTTCTGAAAACTCTCGGTACTGGTAAGACTCATCGCTGCATCCGGGGATGAACATGGTCAGTGGCTAACAGTAAGACCGTTATTAACACAAGGCACCTTCGCTCGAGTATGGCTAGTGAGATTAAAGGACGAGATACGACAGAGAGATAAAGTGTACGCACTCAAAATACTACGGAAGGCGGATGGTGAGACTACCTGGGTATGCACGTCTGCATTCTGCGGGCTAACCTTTGGTGCTAGTGATCAAATTGAAGCAGGTCGAACATGTGCGCAACGAGCGGAAGACTCTCTCGGCGGTTGCCGGCCACCCATTCATAACGACACTGATAGCCTCATTTTCCGATGACCAAAGCTTGTACATGTTGGTAGGGGCCCAAGTGCTTTCAGTTTTTCCCCTTCAGTCCCAACACCGCCTCCCATGTTGCCCATCCATCAACGTTTACCTCTACAAGTCTTGATGGCGATCTAACGTATATCTAGTTGGACTATTGCCCTGGCGGTGAGATCTTTAGTTACCTACGGCGCGCGCGCAGGTTCAACGAAAACACTGCTAAATTCTATGCGGCTGAGATCACTCTAACCATCGAATTCCTCCACGACGTAGAGGGAATCGTTTATCGCGACCTGAAGCCTGAAAACATTCTTCTGGATGCCGAGGGGCACATTAGACTTGTCGACTTTGGCTTTGCAAAGAAAGTCGATAATCGGGAGACTTATACCCTCTGCGGCACGCCAGAGTACCTTGCCCCCGAGGTCATCCATAACAGTGGCCATGGTCTTGCAGTTGACTGGTGGGCCCTAGGTATTCTTATTTACGAGTTTTTGGTGGGGCAACCGCCCTTCTGGGATCAGAACCCCATGCGTATATACGAACAGATCGTGGAAGGCCGCATACGCTTCCCTCAAAACATGTCGCCGGCGGCCCAGAATATCATATCCTTACTTTGCAAGACCAATCCCACGGAGCGCCTAGGGTACATATCTGGAGGGTCTGCCAGAGTCAAGTCCCATCCTTTTTTTGAAGACATACAATGGGATGATTTGTTTTACCGCCGTATCAAAGGGCCTATCATCCCGAGAGTCGACCACCCCGCAGACACCGGTAACTTCGAAGAGTATCCGGATCCAGACGTGAGGAGTCAGAACGTTTATACCGATGATCTGAGGAAAAAGTACGAGGCTTTGTTTAGCGACTTTTAGGCATGGTGTTGGAGCAAATTTAAAAATATTACTGAACAAACACCTTTCAGTGAACGTACTGCCGCCACGCGATCAGGTCGATCCGTCCAACCGGATCATCCCAGCGGAGACGATTCAAGCATCCTGATTGGCAACGGATACTCAAGATCCTTGTGTAAAAGCCAGGACTATTGCCGCATATGCCTACATACGAACGATGCTCAGTTCGGGCCGCGACACCCCCGCCTCATTCTTGGTGATCAACTGTCTTCACAAGGGAGGCTGCCAGTACGTTCATGGTCGCCTGTCGCCTCGCTACGAATGCTCGGAAGTTCCTGCCGTTCAGCCAGTACATCTTGTTTCTCCGCTGTCCATTGCTATGCATCCCCCTGTTGACTACCTTATGTGGCCTTCCAGGAGCTACCACTAACCCCTTGCACCAATGATCATCAGTGACCCGGATGGTCCTCGACATTCTGTCATGAAGAAATGATGATTTTCTTTGCTATTTAATTCTCTTTGGTGCTAGTGAACTTTGTTTGTTATTCACATATGCATATGACGTACTATCTTTTACTCATCAACTTCACCGTTCCCACAATGGCTGGACATTATACTATACGATCGCCTGTGGTCTCTCTCGACCCAGTCCAAGATCTTTTACACTGGCCATATGCTCAGCTATACGGTGTCGATCGGCGGTCTACATGAAGAGACGATAATATAAACGTCATTGAGGACTTATACGGCCTGCGTCCGCCATTTTGTTTATGAACAGGACATACAGTACATTTGGATGAGATCGATTATATTATATACTTAATACAGTTTTTCTATGTGCTCAAACCTGCTTGACAATTTCTAATCCACTCCATACAGTTTCCTGAGCCGTACAGAAACTTGAAGGTTCAGAGTTGGCAGCATTAAATTTCGTTAAAATCTATATATCTATACAAAAATTCTAGATCACGTATCAAGAATAAAGAAACAGATTAAGGGGGGCCTTGAGATAACCACAACCGCAGGATTAGATGGGTTAGTCAATCGGATCGAAGGCATTAGCTAGAGAATACTTCTTTTTTTTTGGGGGGGGGGGGGGGGGGGGGTGGGCGTAATTCCCGACTGATAGAGGGTATCTAGTAGTTGGAAGCATACTCGGGTCGGAGGTGAAATGTGTTGGTCAGCTACATTGGGTTGGCAACTGTCAGCGGCATTGATCACAGGACGTGACTCGTTTATACGTCATTCATGCTGTCGTTCACGTGATGGTAATGGATCGTCCATTCCCATCGAGTCGAGCCGACTTTCGTGGGTAAATTAGAGGTAAAGGAGCTAACATGTGAGCTTTCTCTCACTGCCGATGCTCGTCGGAGCTAAGATGATGATCTTTATTCTCCGGGGTACGTTGGACGGTGGGGTGGTAGTGGGAAACCATCTTTTTTTTATAATGACGGGTCCGTTTTCCAAGTTCCTAGTCATGATGGTTAGCACCGGTGCAAAAACAAGGATAAGAGCATAGTTACCTTCAAAGTCGTGTCTGACGAAGGCCATTGGATCATCGTAGTCGCCTGCGCCCATTTGCATCACGCCCGGGCTGAAGCTCGTAATGGGTAGCACCACCACATCGCCGACCTTTCTCCACTCTTTTTGGTTTGTAAAATCTTCGTACGTGATGTTGTGATTCGAATCAGGTTCGATGTTGAAGTAATCTGGGTCGTTGAAATATCTGAAGATAGCGTCTGTCCATGCGCCCGGTCCGGTGAACTCCACGATGGTCTTATCCATCTTGCCGACCTTTAGGATACCGGCCTTCTTCATCCGTAATGTCTCCCCCGTGATGTAGGCCACGATGTCGCGAAGGATCGGATGCCCTGGTTTGGACTGAATGGTCCATTGACAGAATTGGATTCTCCGGGAATACCAGTCATGCCAGTCCGGACGGTCCGGATCCGCCTCGATGCCAACCACGAATCCGATCGTGGACAGGTCGTAGGTCGAGGGCAGCCAATCGGCAGCTGGCTTCAAAGCGCTGGTGTCGATGTCGCTGTAGATTCCGCCACGGGCCAGCAGGATCAAGTATCTGAAGAAGTCGGCTTTCAGGACGGGCAACGGCAACGACTCGTAGGCTTCGAACACATCGGGAAGCGAACCGTATAGGTACTTGATGAGGTAACCCTGGGTGTCGTCTGGAACCACCTGGTGGACGAAGCCGGGGTGGAGCTCAGTCCAACTTGCCTCCGCACCACGCAGCTCTTGGCCGAACCACAACGAGTCGGGGGTATATTTCCATGTCTGCCAGATGTATGCGGGGAATTTATCATCAAGATCGTAGGGAAAATGGTAGCGTAGCCGTTCGCGCAAGGGTGCGCTCGGGGAGGGTTTGAGTGGCTGCTGCTGTGGTGTCACCTCTTTCTTCTGCCCGGAAGACTGCTCTTCCGTTCCTTCATTGGTGCTGTAAACGGCCTCATCGGGGAGGTGTGCGGGCGCAGGGGACGAGGGGGAGGAAGCTGAATGAGAGGATCTTAGCAGGACGACGAAGGTGATCAGAAAGAGGGCCGCAATGAGCGACTTCCGGTAGGTGAGCATGGTGGGGAGGGGGTTTGTCGAAGATGCTTGATGCGGGTTGATCGGCAGAGAATTGCGATTCGCTGGCATGCACACAAGTTTTAAGAGACGTCACGATCTTCTCCGCAAAACCTCCGCCGATAATCAGTGAATGACAACGGACTTTGAGACGCGGCGACAACCAGTGGATTCAATATGGATCTCAATTTGTGTCCCACTCAATGGTCATTGAAATGGCACATATCTGCACTTTGTTGCGACTGAGACGATATGCAAAAGACCGCCGGAATTACAAATAGGAAATCAGCTGCGAACGATGAGCTTCGGCTGCTGCGGCGAGTTGTTTGGTTGGCAATGATGACGAACAAATAAAGCGAAAAAAAAATAAAAAAAAAAAAAAGAGAGAGAGATCAAGAGATAAGATATAGACGGACAAAAGTGGCAGTGACGAAGAGATACAGGAAAAGAAAAGAAAAAGTTAGGCGGAAGCTATCGGGGGTGGAGCTAAATGACGACGGCACTTTTTGGTGGCGTCAGACTCCGCGTAGACTGGCAGATGGTGGCTTAGTAGATACAGATGGCTGAGGTGAGGTCGGGAAACTTCTCTGATGGAATTTCCAGAGAATTGTCAACGTGGGTTATTTCAAATATAAAGAGGGGGGAAAGGGCAAAAGAGAGTTAATGTCACGGAGATTGAATTTGAGGAAATGTGGAGATCATCTCGTGCAACGTTGGCCATCGACTTTTTTTTTTTTTTTTTTTTTTTTTTCTTTTGTCTTCCTTTTCCGCAATGGGAGATGATCAGCCGAGATTCTTTGTGTAGTTCGTCATGACGCGATGGGCTGATTCATGTTTGGTTGGTCGTCGAATCCTTGGAACCGAGAAGACCACGACCTCGAACTAGGCATCTATAAGTTAAGTACATGAGGATGGCGCTCAATCTGCCGTTTGCGGTCTCTCTCTCGAGTCTATAGAAACACAACCGCAACGGTAAGGAATTCTGCGAATCATCTAGACCTTTGGATCCTGTGTTGCTCTTATGGAGTATGGAGCACTCCTGAAACAATCACACACACACACACACACACTCTCTCTCTCTCTCTCTCTCTCTCTCTCCTCCCCTTTAGAAGACTTGGGGAACTGAACCGTTCCTCCCGAATGGTCTCCGCGCCCGATTACCGGGGTTGATAACCCACCAGAATCGCGCATGCATGGCTCACGGACATGTAATATATCGGAGACCTTAGGGGAGGAATCCGAGGCACGCGATTGGTGAGCGGCTGTAAGTAAAGTTGTTAATTGCATCCAAGATCCCAGTCAAGCCGCGTCATTAGCATTTCGTCTCATCCCGACAGATCTGCAGGTAAGGCTTGGCCCACGATGCTTGACGCCGTGCTGATTGGTTTCTGCAGACATCCGGGTCAAAGTACTAATGCGACCTCAGGCCGTGAGCCACGTTCACGTCTGAATTGTACAATTGTACAATTCATTGTACAAATTCTGGTGATATATAATATTCTTCCCCTTATGGTCAATACCACATCAAGGACTAGAATATCCAGAGGGTTGAGGTTTGATCGTCTGTTTCATTCCGACACCGAGACGGCAACCTGTCTTAACCACTGGCAATCCTCAATTAGGTCGGTAGTCCTTTGGAGAAAGCGCCAAGCTTCCTTTAGCAATGAAGTATACGTGGAAAGTAACATTGAACAAATGGCTCCTTGTGATCTTCACTATATACACCATTGCAATTCGGATCTCCGGCGGAGGGACACGAGGTTTCCCTCTATACAGGGGGAGATATAAGGGGTATCATGTACGAAGATCATGCTTGGATCAGGTACCAATCAATCCCATTCATTCAACGATCCTTCTCGCCAAGCATGACCGGAGACTTGTGGACTAGGGCAATTTCTAAAATGTATGTAGTATGTAGTATGTACATACAAATGCTTGACTACACTTCAATTCAACCCCAAAATTTGATAGAGAATGATTGTTAGGTCACTGATACAGAGACCATCGACATTCGCCGATGAATGGAGGAGGAGGGAATGTCAGATGAATTCCTGACCTACACGTGGAGCTGCGCGGTCGCTGTTTGGCTCGAACGGTTCCTTCAAGACTTTCGAGTCGCGGGAGTCCCACCGCCTTAGCCTCAATGCGGACGGTCGCTTGTACAATATCTTCAAATCCTGGCAAGCGGTGGAGTTTTGTTGCAACTGCTTCAACCTCCAATGTTACTGTACCTGAGATGATTCCATACAAAAGAAAAGGGAGGTTCACCAATCCCATCTCGTTTAATTATAGCAGTACCACTCTCATGGGCACGGTCTACTACCACCTCGGCGAACTGACAATCTGGAGAGTAAGGCCGTCTGAAGCCTTCGAGGAGCAGTGCATTTCAGAAAAAAGGAAGATGGGAAGATATAGGCCTTCCCAAAAAAAAAAGAGAGACCCATCTTTCTAGCAAACAAGTGAGTACTAAGACGATCACTTACCTAATTTTCTACGAATTGTGACAGGACCGAGAACCCCCAGCGGAAGACTTCTTCAGATCCTCAAGAATGAGCAATTCAACCTCTTGTAGAGGTCTTCCTTTCGACTCACGCAGGCTATGCCCCGCTTACTTGTTCTTTCAACTGCTTCAGCTGACTATGACTGGATTATATCTCGAGTCCTCAAGAGCCTTGACTACTCTTTAAGCTTATCAGTTCTAGACATCTTGATATAGTAAGCCGTCAGCCAATGACAATACGAGTAGATGACGCCATGAGCTTTCCCGCGGCCCTCGCAGCTGTCGACGCCTCAGGCATCGCCTCCGCCTGCGTAATCGGCGATCAAATATAATGATAAACACCGATTTCTCGACCGCAAAAACTCCCAGTTGACAGCTCGTGTTGCAATCATATTCTCACTCACTTGTGTATTGCAGTTGGGTTCCGTGCTCAGCCAACAATGGGATCGATACACGGCGTGGCGCGCTCAGCGCGGAGTCTCTCAGCTTTGCTTCGACATGAAAGCGTCTCGACTCGGAATCGATTAGCAGCAGTATGCTCGTCCACACAATACCCAGCGGCCCGTAGGCCATTACACAACGGTCGTCCACGGAAATCCCAGTCCGCTGCCGCAAGTAACAACTCATCCAACCCAGCCCTATCGTTTCCTTGTCTTGACGCCCAAGATGCGAAGTCCGCTCTCCTCTCCGCACGCTCTCTCGAGTCGGGTCCCGAGCCGTCATACACAACCGGTCATCATGAACAGTTCCGTTGCGAAGACCCATTGTTGCTTGACTGGGGTGGCGTCCTGCCGGAATTCGATATCGCATACGAATCATGGGGCCAATTGAACGCAGACAAGAGCAACGCTATCCTACTACACACCGGTCTCTCGGCCTCGAGTCATGCCCATAGCACCGAAGCCAACTCCAAACCCGGATGGTGGGAGAAATTCATCGGTCCAGGCAAGCCATTAGATACAAACAAGTACTTCGTCATCTGTACGAACGTCATCGGAGGCTGCTACGGCAGTACCGGGCCATCGTCCATCGACCCCTCCGATGGAAAGAGATACGCCACCCGATTCCCCATCTTGACGATAGACGACATGGTGCGCGCACAATTTCGTCTCTTGGACTCGCTGAATATCCAGAAGCTGTATGCCTCCGTCGGCTCTAGCATGGGCGGCATGCAGAGTCTCGCCGCCGGAGTGCTTTTCCCCGAGCGGGTCGGAAAGATCGTCAGTATCAGCGGCTGCGCCCGAAGCCATCCATACAGCATCGCCATGCGACACACGCAGCGCCAGGTCCTCATGATGGACCCGAAATGGGCCCGTGGGTTCTACTACGACTCTATCCCGCCCCATTCGGGCATGAAGCTCGCGCGAGAAATCGCGACAGTCACTTACAGAAGCGGACCCGAATGGGAGAAGCGATTTGGCCGTAAGCGCGCAGACCCCAGCAAGCAGCCTGCACTGTGTCCCGATTTCCTCATCGAGACGTACCTCGATCACGCGGGCGAGAAGTTCTGTCTGGAGTATGACCCAAACAGTCTGCTGTATGTCTCTAAGGCCATGGACTTGTTTGATTTGGGACAGGCACAGCAAACGGAGACGAAGAGAAGACGGGCCGAGTACGAAGCTAATATCGCGGAGGGAGGCAAGACTGTCGACGCTAGCAACATCGCCTGCAGCCTCACGCTCCCAGAGAAGCCGTACGAAGAACAACCGTCTGTGACCGCGTCTACGCCCGCGATGGAGCAGTCCGTCGCTGGGGGTGCGGATGGGCCGCCACAGGATCTCGTCGCTGGACTAGCGCCTTTGAAGAACCACCCCGTTCTGGTTATGGGCGTTGCCAGCGATATTCTCTTCCCTGCTTGGCAGCAGCGTGAGATTGCAGAGACACTTCGGGCCGGTGGAAACGAGAAGGTCCAGCACATTGAACTTGGCGAGGACGTATCGATGTTCGGACACGATACGTTCCTGCTTGACTTGAAGAACATTGGTGGTGCAGTAGGGAAATTCTTGCTCTGATATCAATAGTGTTTTCTTTCTTAATAATATCATCACTTATCTCAATTGATGATTGTATGAAAATGCAAAATTAAACGGATCAAATCCTACACCTAGATGATAATGATGCACTACTATGATAACAATGTAATTGCTTTTTTACATGAATATGAATTCTCGTCCTTTTACGCTGACGTTTTATCTTGCGCCCATCCTCCTAGGTAATGATAGCGATAGCTGGTTTGGATTGCTCGTAATATGTATAAGAACTGCTAGTCCCATTCAACACCAAAAAGAAATCAAATTCCCAATCCATTATACAATATCAGCAAGAAATAATCGAGGGTATCTCAGAAATATACAAACCAATCACAACGCCAAAGGAAAAACCATGAAAACCTACATAAAGAGCGTCATTCCTTCCCCAGTAAAATCTGTCTTCGTTCCCTATACCAACGCTCCAGGCACGCCCGTCTCTGCGCCTGCGTCATGCTTTCCACGACAAGAGCAAACTCCGTAGCATTCGGGAACCCGAACCGCTTCGCCATGCTACAGAATTGTCTCTTCATCACGTCGCGAGGAGGATGATACTTGAAGCAGACCGGCCTACCATCTTTCTGAAGCTCGGTGGTAGATGCCGCATTTGACCCGTCCTGAGAATCCCCAAAGACCTGGACATCGTTATTCGAGCCCTCGCTGGCTAGCTCTGCGCGTCTGCTGAGACGTTCTTCGACCTTCGAGGAGCCAATGACCTCGTTGTTGAGGTGGGTATATTCCACACCGGCACCGGCGAGGATGGCCTGAATGGGGTCGTGGCGCTTGGGGATGGGGGATTGTTGAGCGCCTTTGGCGTCTTCGGACTCACCGCGGATCATGGCGGCGAGTTGGCTCATGACCTCGTCATCGGTGTTTTTGGGGTCTTCGTGAGTTTGGGATTCGTCCACGTCAATGTCCATTACCTGAACCCCGGCTCGGCTTTCAGCGACGTTGGTCTTGTTGACGATTTCGCGGAGAACGATGTTGTTGTTTTGGTACTCGAAGAGATTGTTTAGCCCGAAGATTTCGCCCTTCTGGTCTTTCTTTTCCTGGACACCCTTGAAATAGCGCCGTTCGGAACTTGCGTTGTAGCCGATGTTCGCTTGTTGCTGTTTGTAGATCTGACGCGCGTAGACGATCTCTTCGATAGTGCCAGCGGAGATTAGTCGGAATACCTCAACATCGCGGACCTGGCCGATTCGGTATGCTCTGTCCTGGGCTTGGAGGTCGTATGCTGGATTCCAGTTGGGGTCGACGACGACCACTTTGTTTGCGGATGTGATGTTCAAACCCACACCACCAGCACGGGTGGAGATCAAGAAAACGAATTGTCGGGGGTCCGAGTTGAACTCATCAACGGCTGTTGCACGCTCCTCATAGCTCATCGAACCGTCCAGGTAACTGACATTATAACTTGTATGGTGAAACAACATTTGCAACATCCTCAACAATCGGACGCTGTGGGAGAAGACCAATACCTTATCTCCGTTGGAATGCCACCACTTGAGGAGTCGGCGGAGAACCTTCCATTTTCCGCAGAACTCAGGGTTGGCGTAGTTGACTATAGAGTCTCTTGTTCGAAAAAGTTGTTCCCATTTATCAGGGGAGGCAATTTCTAGCCATTCCCTATCCTTGTCTTGCTTCTCCTTGGAATCCACTCCCTGCGGTATCAGAATCGCAAGGTGATTGCTGAGTTTCTGTATAACATTCATTGCAGGAAACACATAACTTTGCCACCGAAGTCCAGATTGTAAATATTGCTGACAGCACCATCCGGCCTTCTTTCTTGAACCGCAAGAACACATCTCAGAGGATTCTTTGATGTACCGGATGATTTCACTGTCCAATAGGTTCTCGTAGGCGTCTGCCTGCGTTTCTGTTAATGGGCAAAAGACGACTCGATCGATCTTCTTAGGAAGTTGATCCGCTATTAGGCTTTTCATTCGCCGGAGAAAGAACTGAGGAAGGAGGTTCTCAACCAACTTCTTGGCAGTCTTGCGAGCTTTACTCAGTTCGTGTAGCGTAGCATCGTGCGACTGCCCTATCTTCAACGGGTCAGAGATGGTTTTTTTCCAAGTCGTAACAGGGCCCAATTTCCCAGGATTTGTCCAGTTCAATAGCGTCCAGAGTTCTTCGTATTTGTTTTGAATGGCTGTCCCAGTTAGTCCAATGCGGCAGAGAGCGTTAACTGAATTCATGGCTTTGGTAGTCTCAGATGTTCGTTCCTTGATGATGTGGCATTCGTCCGCTATCACGCAATCCCAGTCTACCATGTTCACGGCATCCTTATTTTGAAGATAGGTACCGTAAGTGGTAATGAGGATCTCAACTCGTCCGGATCTCGCTGCTTGAAGAGCAAGCTCCTTGTTGTCTCCATGGTAGGTATCGACATGCCACCAGCCCCAACGGGTGAGTTCTGACATCCAGTTCTTGATCAAAGTACCTGGGCATACTATCAACGTGCGTGGATACCATTGGTCTTTCCCACTCCTTCTCATTTTCCTCATCCTCTTGGCGTCTCTCTCATCGCCAGTCTTACCATACGCCGCGGTAAGGAATGCAATTACTTGCACTGTTTTCCCCAGACCCATATCATCACCAAGTATGCCACCTTTCTGATAGACAAACAATTCGTGTAAGAAAGCGGCTCCATCCACCTGGTACTCTCTAAGCCACTGCGCGATAGGGGCAGGGATTAACCCTAGAGAGTATGGGAGAGTGATATCTTTGTATGCATTGCATGGTTTTATGTTCGTAAAGGCCGGTTTCTCTTCTAGAAATTCCAAGCGCTCATCATCGGAGAACTCAATATCTTCGTAGCCGGGAGGTAACTTCAGCCCTGACTCCTTGAGATGTTCGGCTCTACGTTCAAATTGCTGTCGTCGCTTCTGCAAATAGTCCGGGAGCGTGTACTCCATCAAGTCGTCTTCGGAAGGCACTTCATCACCATACTCTCTTAACGGCCGCCTTGGCGTGGGTCTCCCACCTTGTCTTGGACGTCTTCCTACAAACGACTCGGGGTCGGCCATCTTGGGTGTTTTGGACTTGCGAGCACTTACGGAGGTACGCTTCCGCTTGAGGGCTTTTCGGTTTTTGAATGCTTGATAGGCAGCCTCGCCATCGTTGAAAGACGTATCATCGCTGTCGGTTTGCGCTTCTAGGGTTGCTACGGGGGTATGATTGCTGAGCGGTGAAGACTGTTCTTTGACTAGGGACACAGATCTAGATGTAGGACGGGGCGTCACTTCGGAATTGGACTTTGTACCTGATATTTGGAGGATATTAGCCTCAACTTCGCTTTAGGATCATAGTAGATGCAGAGAAACGTACGGCTGAGGGCAGCCTTGTATGGCCTCGCCGGCCGTGAGACGTCCAGATCGTCATCATCGGAGCTGGCAGTGGTCGCGTCTGAGTTTTCTAACTCCCAGCCAGATCCCATATTATTCTCAGCAAGCCCAGTTCGCTGGATCACCCAGTGGTGTAGAGGGAGAATGAGAGGAAACACGCGCGGGCGGCGATGAAGGCGGAGGATCTATATTACCCAATCGGGAAAGGAGCTCAATTCTTTCAAATTGATTTTGTCGCCGATCCAAACTCCCCGCCGCCGTTATCGTCTCTTCTACTTTAGAACCACCCATTGTGCATTCCATTCGGCTTAACGCGAGGAAATATCTTTTGGGCTTCTCGGGCATAAATTTTCTGATCTGATTCGTTCACCGTCTTGTGACTATACGGTCGCTTTTTCGCCCGCGCTCCCAAGAACAAGTTACTAGATATCACGGAGTTCTATACATATACGGTTGTTAGAAAGCCTTAAACCGACCATAGAGTAGACGGCTCACCCCTCAATATGCCTCTCGATACATCGACTACGTACCCCCTTACCAAGCTGCGCCTCGATGGCCGCCGGTGGAACGAGCTTCGTCTTCTCCAAGCGCAGATCTCCACAAACCCGGCCAGCTCTGGTTCGTCTTATTTGGCCATGGGAAATACAACTATTATGTGCTCGGTTCATGGTCCTGCGGAAGGACGCCGAGGAGATGCGACCGGTGGTGCAGCGGGTTCTTCGGGAGCAGTGGTAGAAGTCGATGTCAACGTCGCTGGATTCGCCGGAGTTGATCGCAAGAGAAGAGCGGGAGGAAGCGACAAGTATGCAGACCAACGCGATTGATACATCTATTATTGCTCACGAAGTATGCTAACCTGTCTTTACTAGACAATCGTCGCGCATTGCAACTACTCTACGGGCTGCTTTCCAGTCTCATCTTCACACCTACCTTTATCCGCACAGTACTATCAGCATCCACGTTTCAGTACTATCCGCCGACGGCTCTCTGCTTGCTGCTGCAATCAATGCTTGCACCTTAGCACTTGTAGATGCAGGTATTCCCATGCCGGGCTTACTCTGTGGCTGCACAGCTGGTATGAGCGGAAGTGCTTCTACCCCTCGTGATCCTCGAAACGACGAACTAGATCCGCTTCTGGATCTGTCTTTGCCAGAGGAGCAGGAGCTCCCATTCCTCACCGTGGGCACTACAACCTCTGTCCCGGTGGGTGAGAATGCGATGGATGACGACGAGGAAGATATGAAAGTTTCCATGCTGAACATGGACTCGAAAGTGCATTGCACTTATGTCGAGACGATGCTTGCCGTTGGGATTGATGGCTGTAATCAGATCCGAGAGATCTTGGAGGGAGTCATCAAAGGGTCCAATAAGTTACAATAGCCATCTGTAGGTGATCTTGGTGTCTTTCATGTGAATCTTTCTGTGTCTATCAAAAAGCATGATGTCTATTTATACCCAAATGCTGCACTTTCGAGGTGTTGGGGGCGTGTTTGGTTGGTTTCCACATAGGATTTCTCTTCGTTGGCTCATTTATCTTACGAAAAAACCACAAAACAAATATAGAAAATCCTTTTTCGACCTTTTTAATCTCGATATGACATGATGAGTAAGAAGAACCCTGATGACCAGCCGCTAAAACGCTTAGCAGCAGAAAATGTGCTCAATTCCGCGCGCAACAGGGCCTTCTGATTGGCCAGTGCAGGGCCAGTATATGCGATGTTTACTCCCTTTCGTACTAAGAGTCACTTCAGCGTTGGCCCATTTTCTCGTCTGCCCAAGACATCAATGAGGCCATTCGAGCAGGAAAGGCGCCCTGTAACAAGGCGGATCCAATTGAAAGAAAATCCTGCCCTATGGCGGTTCTGATATCCTTCCTGCCCTGCCGTCTGATAAAGGACCACCTTCCTTTCTCTTCTCTTTTCTCTTTTGTTCTCTCTTCGTATTTTTAGCCCTCAAGTCCAGTCTAGTTTATTTGTTCAGCGCTGCCGTGACTGGCTATCAAATACTGCCCGCGAAGTGACTGATTTCTTCAGTCCCCTAATCTTTTCCTTCCCAAACACTCTGCACTGGAATAGTATAAACCAACATGGTAGCCCACGGTGACATGATGATGGACATGGCCATGGCCACAGCAACATCCACAGGAGCCATGAGTTCGAGTACTGCATCACACTCAATGGACATGGGAGGTATGCACGGCGGCTCAAACAGCTGCAAGATCTCAGTACGTAACTCCCCCCCAATCCCCTAACCAGGACCCCAAAACCACACAAACAGCCAAGAGAAACTAACAAAGAAACCCAGATGTTATGGAACTGGACTGTCAAAGACGCCTGTAAGGACTACTCCTCCTCCAAGAAGCAAAAGAAGCCCTAACCACCAAACAAAACCATCAAACCTCAAAAGAAACACCCACTAACCCAAATCTAAAGGTTTCCTCTCCAAACAATGGCACATAACCTCCAATGGCATGTTCGCCGGCTCCTGCATAGGTGTTATCCTCCTTGTAATCTGTCTCGAATTTCTCCGTCGCGTCGGCCGCGAATATGACGCCTTCATTCTCCGTCGCGCCCGTCTCCGAGCCCAGTATCTCACCGTCCAATCCCAACCGTCAACTCCTGCTGCAACCTCAGATGCAGAAGATGCCACCGCGGGCACAAAAGCCTCTTCATCCGCGCAGCCTTCCGCGGTAAAGGCACCCAATTGTCCGGCCGCTGATGTCCCCGTCCGACCTACTCTCGTCGAACAGCTGATTCGCGCCCTGATGCACATGTTGCAGTTCGCCGTGGCGTACTTCATCATGCTGCTGGCTATGTACTTTAATGGGTACATCATTATTTGTATCTTTATTGGAGCGTTCTTGGGATCGTTCCTGTTTACTTGGGAGCCGTTGCAGTTGGGCAAGGAGTATGTTGTCCTTTCCTTTTCTTTGCTTTGCTTGCTTTCTTTGTGCCCTTTACCCCCGTTTCCATGCCCTGTCCAATTGTGTGATATGGGAAATATATGCTGATGATATCTATAGGAATGATGCCCTCGCTGTGACGAAATGCTGTGGTTGATCTGGTGTTGTGTGAAGAAAAGCTGGCTTTTGAGGATTGTTTTGTTTCTGATGTCCATTTTACATATAAATATTTACCATGTATAGTGATGCTAATAACGGATTTATCTTCTTACTACATGTCTATCAAATGTGTGGTAGACCCAATGGTACGATTAAGTCTATCACGTTTCTTAAGATCTTTATCCTACCCCGATATAGCTTGGGTTTGGATAAGTGCTCATGATAACCTGGGAATAATATGAGACATCCTAGTTATATGGCAAGCTATAGACAATCAAATTGTCTAAATCAAACGGTGAGTGACTTAGGGCTGCGGCGGGCAAGGGATCAAATACGCACGGAGTACGATTACGAGGGGCAGGTTAAGTCATGACCCCACCATGGCGAGCGGGGTTCTCTTTCGCTTCTACTCACTTGGGGACTACATTCAGGCAGCCAGATTTTACACGTTGTATACTACAATACTCACTGCTGGTTATTCCATAAACTTATATTAGGGGAAAGAAAAGGGAACAGAGATAATGGAGGTTGGTAATATGTCAATAGACACTCTAGATTACACCAGGCAAGGAAAACAGGAGACCACCGTTACCTCGAAGCTCACCCAAGGAAAATGAAAAAAAAAAAACAACCACAGGCTGTTTTCAATCCATCCCGTAGGTCAGGCGTCCGAGGTCAGCATTTTTTCCTCTCACAAATTGGGTTTCTTATTGTCCTCCTCTTGACTCTTGACGCATTTACAGCTCACCACAGTCAACGATGGTGGGCTTGACGTCAGAGCGGACAGATCCAGAGCTGCTGCCAAGGGCTTCAATCTCCTTGACAACCTTCATGGACTCCTCGTCGGCAACCTCGCCGAAGACGACGTGCTTGCCATCGAGCCAGGAGGTCACAACGGTGGTGATAAAGAACTGAGAGCCGTTGCTATATGGGGTTTAGTGACTACCCAAAGCTAGTGGCATGAGTTAAGGATGACTTACGTGTTGGGGCCAGCGTTGGCCATGGAAAGAAGACCGGGCTTGCTGTGCTTGTAGATGAAGTTCTCATCGGCGAACTTCTCGCCGTAGATGGAACGACCGCCAGTGCCCTATGAGCCGTTCGTTAGCATTCATGTCAAACGGGGGCAGCTAAGGCTGCAAAAAGAGCGTATACTTACGTTGCCACGGGTGAAGTCACCGCCCTGGAGCATGAATTGGGGGATGACACGGTGGAAGGAGGAGCCCTTGTAACCCTGGCCCTGCGGCAACTTGCAGAGCTCACGGAAGTTTTTAGCGGTCTTGGGGACGTCTTTCTCGTAGAGGTTGAAGGTGATGCGGCCCGTCTTGGCTATAGACAGCGACAGTCATTGTCAGCAAGCAGCGATGATGAGAGGGAATAGAGGAGAGGAATTGAGGGTAAAGAAAATGCATCATCTTGTGTTCGAGGCATCTCAGACGTAGAAGATGGCGCATGGCAGAGGGATAAATTCGAATGTCCCCCGACAACCACAGCAAGCAGCGAAGAAAAGAGAACTGAGAGACTTACGGGCGGTGGTGCCCACAGGGGCGTACTTGATGTCAAAGAAGGCTTTGGTGTTTGACATGGTTGCGGTTGTTTGATGAAACTGACGAAGAGAGAGGAAAGAAGACTGATTGCAATTGAAGCGAGGACGAGAAGCGAAGGACGAGGAGCAAAGTGGGGTTGTTGTTGACTTCAGGCTTCGGGAGAACATTGTTGCTGGAGGGGCACAAGCGGGACAACACGGACAAGGAAATTCTGCGGGGCCAGAAACCAACCCCTCCGTTAGCCGACACGCGCCAAACATGCAATCCAGCCCCGGTGTGGTGGCCTCAGGCCGCCATGTGGTTGGTTGGCCTCTCCCTTAGCCTGGGGGTGGACTTTGGTCTAAAGGATTGGAAAGGAACAGCATTGGATGGAAGCAACCAGACCCAACGACGTCGTCAATGGATCTCACCGGGGCTTTAGGTAATCTTTTTTACTTACAGTTTAGATATATAAGGCAAATTGCGATAAATTAACACGGACGAGTTGCGGATGCGTGGTTGCGTGGAAAGCAATAGAACCAGAGTGGTCAAAGGAAAAATATCCAAGCAAAGAAAGCTACCGGAAGCTCTGGATTATATAATCCCCAATTGCAGGCTTCGAGATCTTCCAAGACCCCAGTGGAAAAATCTTTGGCCCGAAAGCTACCTTAGCTCCAGCTACTAGTATTACCGTAGCAGCCCGTTGAGATCACGTGAATAAACGATACTACTAGTAGTGCATACATACCGAGACCAACGGACATCATTGGGCCATTGCATGCCACTAGAACGAAACATAGTCCCACGCACTTACCTGATCTCTTCTCTAAGAAGGGGGACGGGAAGGGGAATATGCATATATTCCCATTTAGTGGGCTGATACGATGATAGGTCTCACAACAATGAAACTGGAACAAAATTGCTTGCTATATTGCTATAATCGAAACCCCTCAAACACATATGCTTATCTAGAAGAACCGAGCAAAAGAGAAAACAGGAGGAAGAAAGGGAGAATAATAGCAGAAAGCAGAATACGCTGAGGAAGCCAAAGCGCTAAACGAGTAATAATGGCACGGAAGTAAGCCAATGGTACATAATAAACACAGAAGGGTAGAACGAAGGTAAAGCTAAAATAAAAATAAAGTACAAAGTTCCATACAGCATTAAGAGGATAAGAAAAGAAGAAGGTCATAAATACCACCCAGTTCAACACTCATTTCACATGGTTGCTCGTGGTCATGCATAATAACTGCAAGAAAGAAACTGCAAAATCAACAGCTGTGACGGTCCTGTAAAATCAAGATGAGGTACGCAGCTTGATCGGGCTGCTACGGATGAAGTAAAGAAATATATAGAAGGAACACAAAGAATAATTAAAGGAAGAAAAACGTTGAACAAGAATGAAGTGCTAAAGCCTCGCAAAACCGAACATGAAGGATGCACGACTAGTGGAAGTCATCCTCGGATTCCTCTTGATCCCCCGGATCTAGTCGTTGAACCAGCTCCTTTGTCTCCCTAGCGATCTCAAAAGCTATAGGGGGGAGTTTGTTGGTAATGTCCCGAACCTGTTCGGCACTAGTAGCTTCCTCGCCATCAGTTGCTGTCCCCATCAAACGGGCCCTGTGCTGGTCCAATTTCTCGATGATTGGCCCAGCACGCTGTTGAAGCACCGGGTTAGCTTCTGTTTTATGGATGAAATGCTCTGTGGATGAGGAGACATTGGTCACTATGGAGGAGATAGCAGAAACGTGGGTGCGTATGGTGGTCAGGCCATCCTCAGCGCGAATGCTGGCAACAAGAGCTTGAATTGATTGAACCAGTCCTTCTGTCTGGTCTTCGACGTAAAACTGCAAACAATATTAGGCATCACACTGCAAATGGTATAATCGGAGGTATACTGACCTTGAGCTCCTGAAGCTCGTGATCTCCAGACGGTCCGGGGTAGCTGGCCTTTGTGGCTGCTGTCATTCCATGGGCAGCATGAGACTCCGTATGGTTACGAGAGTGATTAGATGGAGGGCTCATAGCGCTGTAGACAGACCCATTGTTACTGAACCTGCCCTGGCTCGGTGTGACACTAAAGTAGTCGGGGGATTTCATGTGGGCCAGCTGTTCCTCATCGTCCTCGTTAAGATCGCCCGCTGGTGAAGGTTGGACCTTGACAAGGCGGATGAGATCAACAACAGCAGTTGATAGATGCGACGCAGCGGCATCCAGAAGAGATACTGGCGAGAGGCCGCATGAGCTAGCGAAGTTCTTAGATGCAGTTATCAGATTGTTTGCCGTCGCAGAGACTTTCCGGGTAGCCTTTGTCCGGGAAGCTGACAAGCCATCTTCGCGATCAGAAGTCTCTTCGACGTCACGAAGGACATGCCGGACGGCGATAACAACTGCTTTGATTTGCTGCATCACCAGATTGTAATCGTCGAATCGTGCAATTCGAAGCAGTTCATCGATGGAAATCTGGAATTTTGTCACATGAACATCCTTAACAAGACCATTATCTTGCAGAAACGCGTTATCTTTTGCGATCGCGTTGACATCTGAACGGAGTTCTATGCCGGTTGAAGACGCTCGCAGGTGTCGTAACTGGGTCTTTGCCTTGGCATACCGGCTCTTCCACTGCTTTACCTCCTCTTCTAGTCTGTGAACCTCACTGGACAGCCGCTCTTCGTGTTCCCATCTCGAGTGGCTCTGTTCCGATAAGGCCTTCATTTCCATGAGAAAACCAGCTGCTTCTCGCCTCACTTCCTCCGTCACTTGCTGCTGTTCCTGAAGTTCGGCCTGCAAACCTTTGTGCTTAATTTCAAGATCAGCAAATCGAGCTTGCAGTTCAGCATCCTCAGCACCCTCTCGGGATGAGCCGTCAATTTGGCTTCGCAGCTCTCTTTCCATAGCATCGTGCTCCGTCCGAACTTTATCTAGCTCCGTCTGCAACGAACTATTCAGATCTTCCACCTTGGAGATCTTACTTTCCAGATCCGACTTCAGGTCCTCCCATTCCTGACGTTCAGACTCACCAACTTGGATTTTCTCATGTCCTTCCTGGTATTTGGACAGCTCCTCATCTTTGGCCTTTAGTAATCCCTCCAACTCATCCACCTTAGTCTGATCTCCATGATGTTTAAAGAGCTCCTCATCCTTTGATTTTAATAGCTCCTCAAGCTGGTTCACCTTCTCTTGGAGCACTGACACCTGAGACTGGGTGTCCGCCAACAGCTTTCGTTCACCCTCTCCCAGGGTTGTCGTAGTTCCTCTCCTGCTTTGCAGAACCGCATCCAAGGCGAAAGCATCACTTCGCGCGTCATAATCATCATCTACACCAGCCACGTCGTCGTCATCCTCCACCATAGTACTTTTATTGGGTACAATCGTGTTGCTCTGGAACGACTTGGCCATGGGGCCGTGGTCCCCATTAACGGATGGCGGCCCGCCTAAGGATCCTTGCCGCGGAGGAAATACACCGCTCATAGGG